CTGCCTGTCCCTCATACAGTTACACTTTATGTTAAAAACCTTCTGTCCTCCCCTCTTTAGTATTGAAGACATCCTCGCAGAGTCTGACAGCGATATGTCAGAGGATGAAGGAAAGGCTCGTAATGCTCCGAAGAAAGCAGGCAAAATGCAGAAAGCACGGGCCTGGCTCAAAGAAGGAGAGGAAGACGACCCACTTAACTTCCTGGATCCCAAAGTTTCCCAGAGAGTATTAGGTGACACACTTTGTTTTTGATAGTTGCAGTGAGCCTGCATTTTATCATGCCTCTGCACCAGTAATAGCCATGGCTGGAGGCATTACGTTTTGGGTTGTCCGTCTGTCCATCCGTCCTGTTGTTGTGACCGTGATATCTCAAGAACACCTCAAGGAAATTTCTTCAAATTAGGCACAAACGTCCAATCCGCTTAACAATGAACTGATTACATTTTGGTGGTCATAGGTCAAAGGTCGGTGTGACCTTACAGCCGTCTCAATCTCATGAATACAATATCTCAAGAAGGTCTTTCCTCAAATTGGCACAAATGTCCACTTGGGCTCAAGAATGAACTGATTAGATTTTGGTGGTCAAAGGTCACTGTGACCTCACAAAAGATGTTTTTGGCCAAGACTCAAGAATTCATACAGTAATAATGACAAAATCTCAACAAATGTCTCATTGGATAAAATGATGATGTGATGATGTATGCAAAAGGTCAAAGGTCAACATCACCGTGACATCAGAATGTCCTGCAAAAACACTTTTCTGGCCTTTACTCAAATATCATATCTCAGGAACAGAAAGGGAGACATTTGGTCAGATACTGAATCTGTGACTCTGATCTTGAGTGCCCATTTTGAAACTATGCTGATTGGTTAGATCTCTTTTGCTGTCAGGGGGGAAGACGTACAGTACAGGCCAAAAGTTTGGACACACCTTCTCATTCAATGCGTTTTCTTTATTTTCATGACTATTTACATTGTAGATTCTCACTGAAGGCATCAAAACTATGAATGAACACATGTGGAGTTATGTACTTAACAAAAAAAGGTGAAATAACTGAAAACATGTTTTATATTATAGTTTCTTCAAAATAGCCACCCTTTGCTCTGATTACTGCTTTGCACACTCTTGGCATTCTCTCCATGAGCTTCAAGAGGTAGTCACCTGAAATGGTTTCCACTTCACAGGTGTGCCTTATCAGGGTTAATTAGTGGAATTTCTTGCTTTATCAATGGGGTTGGGACCATCAGTTGTGTTGTGCAGAAGTCAGGTTAATACACAGCCAACAGCCCTATTGGACAACTGTTAAAATTCATATTATGGCAAGAACCAATCAGCTAACTAAAGAAAAACGAGTGGCCATCATTACTTTAAGAAATGAAGGTCAGTCAGTCTGGAAAATTGCAAAAACTTTAAATGTGTCCCCAAGTGGAGTCGCAAAAACCATCAAGCGCTACAACGAAACTGGCACACATGAGGACCGACCCAGGAAAGGAAGACCAAGAGTCACCTCTGCTTCTGAGGATAAGTTCATCCGAGTCACCAGCCTCAGAAATCGCAAGTTAACAGCAGCTCAGATCAGAGACCAGATGAATGCCACACAGAGTTCTAGCAGCAGACCCATCTCTAGAACAACTGTTAAGAGGAGACAGCGCCAATCAGGCCTTCATGGTCAAATAGCTCCTAGGAAACCACTGCTAAGGAGAGGCAACAAGCAGAAGAGATTTGTTTGGGCCAAGAAACACAAGGAAAGGACATTAGACCAGTGGAAATCTGTGCTTTGGTCTGATGAGTCCAAATTTGAGATCTTTGGTTCCAACCGCCGTGTCTTTGTGAGACACAGAAAAGGTGAACGGATGGATTCCACATGCCTGGTTCCCACTGTGAAGCATGAAGGAGGAGGTGTGATGGTGTGGGGGTGTTTTGCTGGTGACACTGTTGGGGATTTATTCAAAATTGAAGGCACACTGAACCAGCATGGCTACCACAGCATCCTGCAGCGACATGCCATCCCATCCGGTTTGCGTTTAGTTGGACGATCATTTATTTTTCAACAGGACAATGACCCCAAACACACCTCCAGGCTGTGTAAGGGCTATTTGACCAAGAAGGAGAGTGATGGAGTGCTGCGGCAGATGACCTGGCCTTTGGGGTGAGCTGGACCGCAGAGTGAAGGCAAAGGGGCCAACAAGTGCTAAACACCTCTGGGAACTCCTTCAAGACTGTTGGAAAACCATTTCAGGTGACTACCTCTTGAAGCTCATCGAGAGAATGCCAAGAGTGTGCAAAGCAGTAATCAGAGCAAAGGGTGGCTATTTTGAAGAAACTAGAATATAAAACATGTTTTCAGTTATTTCACATTTTTTTGTTAAGTACATAACTCCACATGTGTTCATTCATAGTTTTGATGCCTTCAGTGAGAATCTACAATGTAAATAGTCATGAAAATAAAGAAAACGCATTGAATGAGAAGGTGTGTCCAAACTTTTGGCCTGTACTGTATATGTAGCATCCATGTTTTCACAGACATGGATGTAAACTGTAAGTGCAACTTGACTGGTACGTGGAGGCATACGGCCGCAAGGCAGCAATTCTAGTTTGTCAAGAAAAAAAGCTTACTATATCCCGTGAAATTAGTTGTTAAATGGTTTTGTTGTTTCTCAGCCACCAACCCAGCACTAAAAAAGAGTGCCAAGGTCGACCATGGCTTCAAGGTGACATCAGACGGACGGCTGATCATCAGAGAGGATGACGAGGAAGCTGCCAAAGACAAAGGTAAAAGGAATCCAGTAGTTAGTCCAGTCATCTTCTACATTCCTTCTGTCTGAACGGGCTGAAACGGGCATTACTTTTCCCACAGATGATGGAGAGATGAAAGATATTCTAGAAGAGGCTGGAGTCAAGAGTGTAAGTACTTAACATGTGTGACACTGTAGTTATGTGGCGTTCTTGTTGCTGTAGAGAAATTATCATTATTGCTATTTTTCCATTTGTCATGTTTTTTTTTTTTTTTTAAATGCCCTTCAGAAAAAGACACAGAAAAGGAAGTTCCGAGATGACAACTTCGACGACGACATGGACATTGAACCCCAGCTGAAATATAAAGGTAGGGCTGGTAGATCACTCACCCTGTGTTACACTGAATCCATGAGGAAGACTTTGTTTTTCTTGCATGCTTCCAGTGAACGAGGAAGTTGGAGTGGAGTTGGAGTTGGAGTTGCATTATGTCATGTCCCTAACGAATTGTGATTTAGAATAAGCAGCACATTTTCTCTTCTCAGCTGGGGGGTCAGGTATCCACAGACCGCTGGGAGGAAGGGAAGACGCTGGAGCAGATTACAAATCAAAGGTGAGTGTGATAGCATGCAGAAATGCACAGTGCAGGAGGTGCTGGTGATAAACTAGAGTTCTGATTGTCTGTTCTTTCATCCTTCATCTCTCAGAAAGGAAAAGGAGATGTGAAGAAGAAAGGAAAGCTTGATCCTTATGCTTACATCCCTCTGAAGAAGGCCCAGCTCAATCGCAGGTAACAAAGTGTACTTTATAAACCTCTTGACAAGGAATTGATTTACGTGAGAATGTCAGACGCTAACATGTGTTCTCTTCTTTGTGTGTTCTCAGGAAGCGAGCCAAACTGCAGGGCCAGTTCAAGGGCATGGTGAGAGGAGCCCAGAAGGGGGCGCTGTCTGGAAAGAAAATGCAGAAGAAAAAGAGGAAAGCCTGAAGAACATTATCACTCAATGGACTTTAAATGCGTTATGTGTGTGTGAGGGTGTGTTCATTAACATATGAAAATGTAGACACACACCATGGATGTGTGTATACGGATGTGTGCCTCTCTGACAGACTCATGGAAGGTGAAACCAGTTTGTTTTTAAACTGTTTCATCTTTTAAAGCTCTTGAAATACTCTGATCAGCATCATACAGCTTTGAGGGCTTTTGGCTGTCAAGAAATGTGTAATCTGTTGTTTATGCATCAGATAAATTTTTGGTTAACCCTTCTGGTAAACAAATGTATTTATGTGAGCATTGCCTGGCTACTGTACTGATTTGGGAGGAGTAATCAGCCTTTGTTACTACATTATTCTGTCACTTGAGGACGCTGTAGACTTCTGGCTTGGTGACAGTGAACAGGAGTGTTCGTGGATGCATTTAAGATGATTTAAATACATATTTAAAGCTGTTTGTGTACTGTTAAGTACAACAAAACAATATTTTCTTCTTCTGTAATAATTTTAGTTAGTTTGTCATGAGACAGTAAATGCAGCTTCTCGAAGACATTGACAGAGGAGCTGTAGGTTGTTGTTCTGCAGGATGAGTTAACATACCATTACCCTCCTGTGATTCATTTCCCCAGATGGATCGCAGCAAAGTGAGTCATGTAGCGCCAGACTGACCTAATCGCACTCCTCTTGTGTCTGAGCTCAGTGTCAGTCAGCGTTTTTGAGGAAGGGAGCAGATGATTCAGGACATTCTCAGACCAGACATCATCAGTGCTGCGGTTAAACGTATATAAAGTGGATTCAGACAGTATTCAGTCATCACTCTGGACACGTATAGAGTTAATTATTTTTTGGTTTATGGTGCACAATAACCCATAATGACAAGGTGAAAATGTGTTTTTAGAAATTGTTTTTCTAAAGTACGCTGCAGGACTACTGCACAAAAAGGTGTCACAAAGATTTATATCTTGTTGCAGAAATATGACTTTGAATAGACCCAAAAGCAATTAAAAACTCTTAGAATTTGGTATTAATTTTGCAGCCTACCTACATAAATGTCACGGATAGATTATTAGTTCCCTGAGTGTAATTAGTTTAATTAAATAACGTTGCTTAAAGAGAAACACATCACCTAATAAATATGTCCTAAGGTGTCTGTTGCACTCACCCCAATGTGTTTGTAAGCTGATTCACAATATGACTGCAAAAAAAAAGTCCTCTTGAAATATAGTTTAACACTTTTAATAACTATAAAAGAAATAACTGCCAGACAGCACATAAAAAAAACATTTTGTTTATTGACACAAAAGGTTGTTAATAAAGAAATAATGCAGATGATCATTTCAGTCAGTAAATGCAGTATACAGGAGAACCCTGACGATACAACTTTGCAACACAATCTCTCATTTGATGCTAATGAAACCACAAATGCATGCCAGAATGCTTCTTTACATCCACCTTGATATCCCTCCCTCAAAGACTTAAAAAACCCACCTGGTGCTAAGTAGAAAACAGATGCAGACAGGGCTGGTGTTATAATAAATAAAATATGGAGAAACTGCCCTGCAGTTACAATAAGATCACTTAACTTTTGCACTAAATTTAGCTACAATGTAGAAAAAGTTTCTGTGGTTGAAAAGGTAAAATGATGAATCAGTCTCATTTATAGAAACCTAAAATATCGTACATTTAAAAGCCAACATAACCGACATCGATATCCTCTTTCGCTACATCCTCACTTGCCATTATTATACTCTACCAACCCAAACTATTCACCATCGTCACTCATACACAAACAGTCACAATCTAACGTTCAACAGCACATTAATCATTTTTGTCTCATTTCCAGAAAGAATTGCACTTCCTCTTACCACTTAAATCAACATGACATCTACTACTGTACATACAGGCTTAATCAAGTAACTACATGCTTGCTGTTTCTATAGTTTCTCTTTTCTATAAAAATGTTAACTTTGATGAAACTCTAGCTGATTTCGACATCAGATAAATATTTTCTTGCTGTCCAGCAACAAAGCACAGAGCTTTGAATCAGAGCTCCTGGCTTGTAAGATTGAAAGACGGGGTGCTTTATGGAACGAGTGGATGTATCAGTTGTTTATTGGAGGCCCTCTCTTCGTGATCAGAGCCTGGGTGGGGGTCGAGACGGCGGGGGTCCTGGGGGCCCCGGGGGTGCACGAGATGGGGGTGGACCTGGAGGCGGTTGGGCCATGGGAGGGGGTGAGCGGGAGGGTGGTGTGGTGCGAGGCCCTCTCGACGGAGGCTTCGTACGGGGGACAGAGTTGGAGACCAGAGGTTGCTGTTCAGCGGGCGGGGGACTAGCAGGAGGAGGCGGCATGGGAGAGTGATGTGTGCGAGGAGGAGCCCGGTTGTTAGGGGTGGATTCCCCATCTTTGACCCGCTGGAAATTGATACAGCGACCCTACAACACACACAGGCAGGCAGATGAAAGTTAACCACACATCATTTCAATGCAGATCATAGATTTAAATGCAGCTAGTCTTTGTTCAAAATCAATGAGCCTCTTAGAACCACCAGCCAAAGTGGTGTGTGTGAGTTTTCGCCCAGCTCTGCTGACAGAGGCATGTGTGTTAGAGGCCTCCGGAGGGCACACAGAGCTGCCTCTGTCTTCTGTCCACACCTGCACTACAATAGCTGTGATGCTAGCAAAGACAGGCACTGACGAAGTTATCACACACACACGCTTTTGCAGTCTGCAGCTTTCCCCGTTTCCCCTCCTCTTCTCGAGGCGCCACTGCTGTGACTCGGCCTCTCGATGCAGAATAGAAAGTGGTTTATGTCTCTTATGTGCTTGACTTGTTGGAATGTAAAGGGACATTTCAATATCCCCACAATAGTTAACAGAGGCTCCTCTGCATTTAACATAATTTACAAGACGGGGAGAATGGAACGCTTCTCTTATTGTTCTCATTGATGGTTTTCCTCTGTGTTCACTGCGTAGCATCCTCCTGCAGACACGCACACACACACACACACACACACACTCTGTCTTGCTCAGTCAGAGTGTGAAGGATGGAGAGTAGGTCTCTGTGTCACAGACCCTTGGTGGTCTGATTATAACACCTTATTAAACAGAGAGGCCCTAAAGTCACCCAGGGGCCAATAAGAGGACCCCAGAAGCAGTAGCTTTGTGACTGAGGAGGCCATTGTGTGTGTGTGTGTGTGTGTGTGTGTGTGTGTGTGTGTGTGTGTGTGTGTGTGTGTGTGGGGTATATATGAGGGGTGCGTAATTGACTGGGGCCAGCCCAGTTGGGGGGTGACTGCTTCGGTCTTGTCACCGGGCCACAGTGAAAAGGCCAGTTTGTGAGCAGCAGAGCAGCAGCACAACACCAGAGAGAGCATATGGACACAATGAGAACACAAGCTCATGAATATGAGTGTGTTTGTGTGTGTGTGTGTGTGACTGTGAGCATGACTCCACGAGAACATATGGCCTGAATGAAACCTCGGCCTCATGAATAACAGAAAGAGTGGGAGAGAAAGGTTAGAGGGCCGGCTGCAAGAGAGCAGCGAAACAACGTAAGATTGGTGTTGCTGCAGAAAATTGGCTAAAAGAGGAGTTTTTTCCCACTTTTCAAGTAGATGATTGTGTAAGAGGTCAGCAGTGTGTCACTGTGGTGGTCAGTCTCCCTGTGTGCCCCTTTGGCTGTGACGCCTGCCACTGCATTACTTCCCCCGTTGGCGACTGTTTACTTTAAACCCTCAACTCCTTTCTAGGAGAAAAACAAAACCACCAAAACACCTCCAGCATCCCTCTCCACACCACTCCTCTGTCTGGCCTCTGTTTCTCCTCCTGAGCCCCAAGACTTCCCTCACACACACACACACACACACACTTAAAAATCAAATACTTTGTGAGGGAACTGATGTGCGCACCCATTTGTCAACATTATAGTACAGAAAAACAGGGGAAAGACGGGAGAGTGGAGACACACATCTGACCTGACAGCTCTGCTTGTCACCTCGCATGACATTACAGCGATTCCACTCACATAAGGGAAATGCTTCATGTGCGCTCACAAGAGTTAACACACTTCATATGCTGCTCTGAAGCGTGGAATACTTTGATAATGTCACAATAACAGATCTGAAATGGAGAGTATTAAAGGCTTTGTTTATCCAAATTACAAACACACATATTTTATCACTCACATGTAGTGGTATCTAGCCATGGAGATAGTTTTGTTTTTATCCACTGAGGTTTTCAGTTGTCAGTTTCTGAGATGTCTTCTACCATGCCAATACATTAGAGGTAAATTACATTTGTGGTGCTTAATGCATTAAACAAATCACATTTACAAAATTCATCGGTAACATGTTTTTCCAAAATCAATGGCACGGTGGTTTTGGATCAGTACTTCCCATCTTTTTTGTCTGATATAGCCCCCCTGACTCATGTTGGTTGGATGCATTTTCTGTGTCGTCAGCCTATTGGCTGGAATCACTGTTCGAGATGAGACACAGTTGTCACTGGAATTACTTTTTATGGAGGAAATACTGGAGGAAATAATGGTTGACAGCATTTTCTGCGAATTATTCAGAGTACCAGTGAAACCGTGACATTATAAGCACACAGGTTTTTAAAACACGGATGCACATGCTAAAAGTATGCTACAGACTCCTTTCCCATTGCCAGTAAACCAGAGATGGCCCTGCAGCAGACGTCTTTCTGTGTATGTGGGGTTTTTCTTTTCTTTTTTTTGATGGCACAGACAGGCCAGAAAACAGGTAAACAGTAGACGGCACTATGAGACGGCAGCACGGAGGAAAGAAAACTTAATGGTGGTTACTTTTTATCTTTCACTTTTTTTTATGTTTGAGCGCTGCTTGGGCAAAGACGGATAGTGTTTTGTGATGGCACGTCATTGCATCTTGCCAGTTAAGGGGCTAAAATAGTACATTTACCTGGGTGTTGTGTGCCCATCGGAGCCAGAGGCGATAAATACTCCTGGTGACTACAGAGTCATTTGACCTGGGTATGAATGCTGATTAAAATCATTCCCATTACATTAAAAAGCCAGATAAAAATGGGTGTTAGTGGTTTTTTGTGCAGTGGGAGAGGGGCTTTAGATTACCCTCATTGTTCATCGTTCAGGAGGTTTTTACCAGGAGCCAAATTTTCCGCAGTTGGGATGCATGATAATATTGGCCCAACATCAGTATCAGCCGATACTGGCTTAAAAATGGACTATTGGAATCAGCCAACACGCTGATAATGTTGATACATCATCGCTATTGGCCAAAATCAGTTTTGAATTTAAATGTCAGAATCAGCCAACGTGCTTTTCTAATTTCTGATTAATATTACATACATTTAATAGCATTCTATTTCATGTCTCCATCATAATATGATGTTAATTCCACACTTGATTATCTCTAAAATTAGGTAAGGGAAAAAGTGGATATATCGATACCGTTACTGGTTATTGGCCGAATCAGCATATCAGATATCGACCAAAAAATCCAATATTGTGCATCCCGCGTCTCTTCAGGTTCTCCTCCTCTCTAAAACAAATAAATGTGGTGATTTAAACCAGCAAAAACACTGAATAAAGCAGTTTCACGAAAAAAAAAGAAGAAATATTTTTCGTACACTTTTGTCGTAGAAGGGCTGCTAACTATGGTGGCCCATGGGAAAATACAAAAACACAAATGGCCCTATCTAGAGCCAGTGTTTGGTTTGTCTGTTCTGGGTTACTGTAGAAAAATGACCTCCTCCCTATGTAGATATAAACGGCTCATTCTAAGGTGACGAAAACACAGTGATCCTTTTTTTTAAGGTGAATATACATGCCTCTTCTTTACATGTAATTTCTGCCAATATACCTCCCTAAATCCTACACACTGGACCTTTAAAGCTCCAGAAAAAGTGAGTAAGTTGACCTTGCTATGAGATTGTTTTGTCAACAAAATGATCAATGCTTTGAGCACCACAGACAGAATTCCATTCACTTTCACTGTAATTTGAGACACAACCTCAGTTAAACTAAAACTATCTCCATGGATAGATACCAAAATATTGTGTTTGTTTTTGTAATTTGGGTGAACTGATCCTTTAAGTGAGGTGATGGGGATAAAGAGGGAAGAGGGTGAGGGAGGGGAAGTGCTGCTGTGCTCATTTGTGCCGTCTGCATTGTGAGGATGGAGGGATGGTGGCCGCCCTCTGGTCTGGTCTGTGCTGTGTGACGGGGCCATCAGAGCCGTCAGCTCTGGGGACAAAAGAAGGGAACCTCTTCTGTCACAATATGGCTCGTGGCCTTTCAACTCCCCATCTGTTTGTGTGACGCTCACTCGGGAGAGCTGACACACACGTTACAGTGACACACACATGCACGCACACACACACGGTAGGGAGAGATCAGACGCAAACGGGGAGCGTGGCAGAAACTGGCAGCCCCGCTGATGGCCGTTTGCAGAGGCAGTGATGTAGGAGTAATGTGGGGAGAAAGCAGGATGAGCTCCTCCTGAGCTGCTGGTTAACAATCTGAGTCAAGAAGTCTGATCCACGCTAGTTATCGCTGTGCTTTTAGCCACCTTGTTGGGCTTTTTTTGCACTACCACTCTGCTGTTTGTCACCCTGCTATAGTTTCTTGCTTTTGCAGATGTTTGACACTGTGAGGTATTTAGATCTGGCTTTTGTCAACATGAGAAACCATAGTCGTCTTTTATGTGTGATATGGCTGTTAGCACCAATTCTGAACAACTATCACCCTTGCAACAACAGTGGATTTTATCCCCCCTCATTTTTTTCCATGTGAGAAGTAGTGTTTCATTTTCCTCAGTTAATGACTCGTGAAGGGAGTTGTGGGGGTCATTGTTGAACCACGGTCCCACAGAAAGCAGCTGACAAAGACTCCAGAAACTTCTGTCCTGACAGAGATTAATTGTTCTGCTCCGATAAAAGTAAAAAAGAAAAAATCCAAAATGGAAAGACGGGATAAAAGCAATGATGATGAGCACTTTTATAGACTCCAGATACAGTACACACACACTGACACTGTTACATAGTAAAGATGAATCATGCCATTCAAAGAACAAATCAATAAATTTTACAGCGATATGGCCTCGGCTACAAGAGGCGACAATGAAACCATTTACAACGGAGCAGCTGTTTCTCCATGACAACCAGTATGATGATGAAAACATGTCAGTGGGGTTATGGGATGCCATACACAGGGTCAAGGTTAGATAAGAGAGGCCGCTCTGCTCTCTCTTGTTCTGCCGCTGTCGCACACTCGGCCACCCCACAGTGATGTCATGATTTAGGACTTGGCTGCAGTAGCCGGTAATATAGCAAACACAGCCGCAATAAAACTCAGAATGACACTTTATTTTACTATAATTATCACCTCAAAGTACAGAGTGTGGAACATGCTATTTGGAAACATGATAGAAACCCAGTCATTTTCCGGGAGTCAAAGGGAATTCTTGGGTACAGAAGAGCACAGTGCTCCTTGTGCATGAACAATGGCAGCTTTGACGAAGAGAGCTGTATCAATAACTCATTCACCGCTGTGTGTGTGTGTCAGTGTGCATGTAGAGAATCAGTACTGAGCTGCTGTGTTGGAGATTATACATGTTGCTCGCTGACACGTGTTGTCTTTATGCAATGTGACAGACAGAATGCAGATGCTCAAATGTCCACACACACAGATGGTAAACACACTGAAATCTTCTGTACCATCAACCAACTCATTAAAAGCTCTTTGGTGGTTGTTAGCCACATGGCAGTCCCCCCAAATTACATATAATTACCAAATTATAGTTAGTCATCTCATCTGTTTGTGGTACATCAGATTTTCTAGTCATGTTTTAGGTCAAAATTAAAATGAAATGTGACTGCAGCTGAGTGTCAGGCTCACCTCCTCTCCCGGCTGTGGTCTCATCAGCGATACCTGGTCGTAGCCTCTCCTGAACAGAGCCCACAGAGCATCTAGCTTCCCCTGGAGGACGCAGAAAGAAAAACAAATGATTTCACAGGGATGTTGGTATTAAATGTGGCCAAAGTTTCAAATAACGAGGTAGACAACATATGTAAAAGAAGTCTAGGTGAGCAAAAACCTCAGGCCTCAGACCATTCTGAATACTCTGTATCCAAAGTTTTTTTTCTGTTTTCAAGACAAGCTGATGTTAAATCATGATGGATTTCCTTATATAGTCATCTGTCCAGGCACAGTACTTCAAGTGTTTACATTATGTAGCTTACACTGCTACATGTAGCTATATGCTAACATCAAGGAAACATGTAATCTTGGATGTCGATGTTATTTCTCCATGATTTCGGATCATATTCCTGCTACTTAGAAGATTTTTGATGGTAACATGCCGCTCCATTACAGTCGTTCCCCACCTGCAATGACGGTGCACCGCATGGATGTGTAAAGAGAACTGGATGTAGTGTTGGAGGCGGGGCCCTGTTCATTCCTATAAAACTTGCTCAGTGGCCAAAAAAGTTCAACCTTCCTGGTACAAGATTACCCAGATCTTCCACATCATTGGGCCCAAGGAGCAAGTGCGCAAGTGACTTTCGCCAGCTGAGCGGCCAACTTTTGGTTTAGCCCTCTTCTTTTATCAGTGGGGATAAAATTACATAATTGTGCAGCTCTTCTAGACTTTTAAATTGTTAGCAGACCAAATAAATCAAATTCTGATAGTGAAACAAGTCATTTTTGGGGGGTTGTGACGCTCAAAGAAATGTACTCACTCATTTAAAGATGTCTCTTAAACAATTTAAGTCTATGCAAAAGTTGTAATTCCACAGTTTGGCCACTATGTATAATTGGCTTCAAAGCTTGGCGCTGTTCCTGGGGGCTTGATGCAGAGATACTGAGATACAGAAAACCTGAAAACGCTGACCAACTAGAGCAGACTTGGTCTTTTCAGGAGGGGGGCATTAAGACAAGAAGAGACAGGTGCTCAAATGGAGCATCTCAGACAGAGGGTGAATACAGGTGTTCCAGCACAGACAGTATGAGGAAAATTAAGAGCTTTCTGAACGTTAAAACATGTAAACATGTTCTAGTAGAAACCCAAAATACAAGTATGAACATAGAAATGAGCATAATAGGCCCACTTTAAACATACATTTAGCTTTAGGTTATGCATTAAAGACTTACCTTAATAGGTGTGTACCACCTCCTCTGCTGTGGGGGGCGGCGTGGTGGTTTTCGAGGCTTGGGCTCATATGGTTCAAATTCCTGTTCTGGCATCTTTACAACTGCATTTTTAGGTTTGTCCAGTTTCGCACCTTCCTCAGTGGACCCCTTCTCCCCCCATCGCACCTAAAAAAGCCTCATTAAAATGTATATTCTTTTGAGCGTTGGAAATGCATGCGTGTGTGTATGTGTCGATACAAACCTCCATGCGTTTAATGCCACCCACTCCTCTTCCTCCGTAGTAGGATGCATCCACTGTAGGCCACCTCTTCTTTGGCATCCCATCCTCATCATCTGATTCCTTAGAGTGAAAGTCAATACATGACACTGCCCAAATTCTCCCAAACATACTACCATCAGTATTAACATCAATACTATCAATACAATCATTATGAGAGAAAAAACAAGTCTTACTGGCTCTGGAGGAGGAGGTGGTGGAGGTTCCTTGATCACCTTAAAGTTGAAAAAGAAAAGTAATGAGGGAACTAAAGATATACTCAACAGATGACCACACACTGACACACTTAAGTCTGAAGTTCAAACTTACCAAAGTGCAGCAGAGAGGCCAGAACCACCACATCAGCAGCAGAGCCAACAGCAGGAACACCACCAGCAACGATATTAGCACGATGGTGCCGTCGAACTGCACAAAAACACAGAATGATGGAATTCAGGTTAAACTGAACTACAAGATAACAAATGAGAAAAAGGTGAAAATGAAAAGCGGAAGTACTCACAGTCTCCTCTGATGACAGACACAACAGAGGAGACCTCAGAGAGGAAGGAGAGAAGAAGAAGACTGGAGGACCAGGAGAAAATAAGAAGGTTGAAAGAAAGTTTATTCAAATAAGGCAGCATGCCAGAGGGAAATATCATCATGTGTTGTGATAGTGCAGACTTTCTGAACAGGATGTACTTACACATTCAGTAGTAGTGATGTGAACGGAGCTGGTGATGTAGGAGAGGCCCTCATTCATGCTCACCTGCAGGTAGATCACCCTGCAATAACACAAACTCGTGACTGGTTTGATCTTCCGACACAGAAATGCAACACACATCACACGCTCAAGTGCTCATCTGCTTGCGTGCACACATTTGCGGTCTTGTTGCGGCTACTGTAAAAGCTTGCCCCGAGGTGTCAAACACATTCCTCCATCTATTTTGTCCAAACTCGCTGCTTTATAAGCGCAAAAACATGCTGACGTAGACACAAAGCCAAAGTCTTTAAAGAGGTCAGGGAGTTCTCCACCCACAGAAGGAATCTCTTCTGTTTGGATCAGACCCAGGCCTCTAATGTGGAAACCACAGACAGCTAAATGACTTCTTTTTCTGCAGGATTCAGTGCTGATATCTGCAGCTGGAGCTGCACAAAGATAGGGCAGGGCAGGGACAGGACACGGGTGAAAATGTTTAGTTTTTGGTGGGGTAGATGGCAGGATAGTGAGGGTGATGAAAACAAAGATTGAACAACAGTGAGACAGCAAAAAGGACAGCAGAATATTTCGTTGACAAGTTATTCATAGAGCTCTTAAAGGGACAGTTCACCTCAAAATCAAAAATACATATCTTCGTCTTGTTTCGGTGTGAGTTGTTGATTGTTGGAGATATCGGCTGTAGAGATGTCTGCCTTTTCTTGAATGTAACAGAACTTAATGGCACTCAGCTTGTGGTGCTCAAAGCGCCAAAAAATGGGAAGCATGCATCTACTGCTAGCTCACCTAGCACCACTGAGCTAGGTAATGTCACAGCTCAGACAAGAAGGGCGCGAGTAAATGCACACTTCCTTCTGCGTGGTGAAAAAGTTGGTAAAAAAGAAAATAGTTCTTACATGAAACAGCTCACAACAAGATCTGTAGATTATCTTGAGTGGTTCATGATTTCTGGAAAGAGACATTGCTGTTGAGTTTTTCAGATGTATTTTTTGGCGCTTTGAGCACCACAAGCCGAGTGCCATCTAGTTCCATTATATTCTATGGAAGGCAGACATCTCTACGGCCGATATTTCCAGCACTTGGGAACTCACACCAAAACAATCTAGCAACAAACAAACTCGCACTACAAGTATGAGTAAAAATATGTATTTTTGATTTTGGGGTGAACTGTCCCTTTAAGACATATGGCCAAAAACAAGACATCTTAGCCAAATAGGCATTTGAGGGCTGAAATGCAGACAGCTGGACTGTAGCTATAGGTTTGAAGAATAGAGAAAGGCTTCTTGTGCTGTTCTTATGGTTTGGGGGGGGGGGGGGGGGAGACAAGGGGGGCATTGAGCTCTGGGTTTAGATCTGAGGAGGGGGCGACAAGGATTAGGTCACTGCAGGGGTAGAGAGATGGGCAGAGGAGAGGAAACAGAGTGGGGGATGGTAGGAGGAGGGCCCTTCCTGTGCTACATCCCTTCAGCACTGTCCCTCCCTTCTGAGACCCCCTCTTCACTTCCTCAATCGCCGACTCTGTTTTCGCCTCCTCGCCCCCTCCTCTGTCCTCTCCATATGACTGTAGCTTGTCTTATAACTCATGCTGACACTGACTTCAGAGTAGGAAATTGGCGGTGCAGGTGCCACTCATCTTTTATTCTACTTCTTCCATCCCTTCTCTGTCCCCCCCCTAACCCCATTTTATGGTCAGCCCTCCTTTCAGGCAGGCAGGGGACACGCTGCTATCAGCTCCTCTCTGACAGATAGATCTCAGCCCCTATCAATCATCAATCTGCCCACTATATATGTCTTTGCCCTGTGTGTGTGTGTGTGTGTGCAGGGGGGGAGCTGCATCCGGAAGGTTCCCAGTCAACATAGATTTGTATGACAGCAACGTCAATGACTTCATCATATACGACAAGGCTTGGGTGGATCAGGAGGTGAGGTGAGGGTCTTTGGGGTTTGGGTGAAGAGGTGACGCTGGGAGCTGGACTCCCTAAGTCCCTCATGTATAGACTTTACAACTGCAAAACAGGAAGCAGTTTACCTATAATGTGATCTGACATGAAAGGGTGGTGTTACAGGGCTGCAGCTAGTGATTGTTTTCATTACCAATTAAGTCAGGGTCTATGAAACTGCAATCTATACAAGTAGGCGATCCATATACTATTGGTATAATCTGTCTACTTCTTGATGTTTGCCTGATTGTATGTCAGCGAATAAAATGTGAAAATCTTATAAGTATTTTATCTCTCTGTATTATGTTATATACAAATATCATGACTTTTTTTTTTGTTTAGTTTACTTTTACTATTTACTGCTCACTTAATGACTGCCTCGGACAGATGGTGTGATATCAGGCTTGAACTCGGATCTTGAAAAAAAGCAGTTTGACAAAAAACAATCCTAGCACATGATCCACTGAGAAAGGCCATGAGACGGAGCTGAAAGCTTAACAAGACTCAAGTAAGTGGACCTTGAGCTGAGAATTTCTTTTTGTCAAGGTTTTAACTGTGTTGTCACAATGGTGCTGTTATTTTAGTAAGTCTGTGTTGTTATTTTTATTTTTTGATAATGTATCTTATGTACCATGTTTTTTGTAATAAAGAAGAATTATAAAAACTTAAAGTTACAACCTCGAAGATCTCCACTTTGTTCTCTTTGGCGGCACCTATGGTGACAAGCAGTAATTGCAAGTGTGTTATTGGATCTTACTTCTCAAAAATCCAAACAGTGTCACCTGTCTTTTCCTCTGAATTTGCACCGCTATTATTTGAATTTCATTGCCTGACTGGAAAAAAACTGTTTGCCACTTCACACACGAGTGAGTTGAAGAGCAAGTCTGTTGTATTAGCTCCACCTAACCTCTCTGGTGCACCAACCACTACTGAGTAATGGAAAATGCATCAGTATCTATGTGCTGCTTGTGATTTTCCCAGAAATGTCGCTACAGACTTTCATCCATTGGTGTAGATATTACGGGGGGACCCCCCCCCCCCCCCCCCCCCAAAATTTAGAACGTGTGTTTTTGCCCCCCAATAAAATCATGAATTCAGCAGAGCACATAATTTGATGCAGACAAGGCATATATTGGTGCATAAAATTCCCCAGAATGCAGGAAATTACATGTTGACACTCCAATTTTCAGGTGGAGGACACCCAAACCCCCTGTTTCATATGTGACCCCCATATGTGCTTAAAAGAAATGTAAGCCCTTGCTTTCATCAGGCTCACCATTGTATTACCTCATTTTGGAGATAGGTAGTGACTTAACTGACATTTTTTCAAATGGAAATCTTTGGGATTATTACTCTAAATAACAAACAAACTTGTGAAAACTGACCATCACAATTTAACAGCACCCAAGAAGATGTTCTTGATTAGCTTGTTTTGTCTGTTGAAAGGTGGACTGTTTGCAGCTGTTAATATTTTAGTATGTGTTTTGATCATTTTAATTGTCAAATAGAAAACGTGATGATCTCAGGTGATGAAAGGGGGGATTTTGTTGAGAAGACCAGAAACAGCACTATTTTGGCACACAACAGTACATGACACCTGTCCAGCCTGCACAGTGGCACTCTCACTTCTCTACATATTTCCAAATCTATCTGCACGTTACTGCACCACAGTCCAGAACTCATAAGCCAGCTGTTGGCCTCCTCCCTGGGCCCTTCAGCCATTCACAGTTGACTTCCTCTTTACTAGCACTCAGGGTGTTGAGGCAGTGCTAACTCTGCTCTAATGGGCTTTGGTTATATGGAAGGATGTCTTCTTCAGGCACCATTGCAGTGTGTAATGATGCTCCCTGTTTTGCTCTGCTCTCAGGATGAGCAGCCCCACCTGCATCAATGCCACAGTGTAAACAACTATTAATGGATTGTGACTGAGGTGAATTGTTGCTGTCTTTTTGTCAGTCCCCCAATACTTACCCTGTGAGGTACAATTAAAATTCCATGTGTCATGTCTGCTAAAATGTGTAAGTGAAATAATACTGTAGGTGACAGACTCTTAAATCTCCCTGTTGCCACAGTGTGAAAACTACATTTCTTCTTTCCCCATCTCTGAATAGTACTTCCCCATCAAAGCAGTACTTTTCACTGGCAGACAAGACAAGCTCAAATCACACTAGAAATTTGAATGACAGCAACAAGACAGATGATGACTGGGAGGTGTCTGAGGCCGCAGGCCGGAGTGTATAATTATGCACAGGACTGCAGGCAGCAGGGACAGGAAGGCTGCCGGGTCTCGGTCCTCTCCGAGCTCCGCTCACAGCATCGCTCTGTCTGCCCCACTAGAAACTTCTGCTCTGAATCCCCAAAAGCAAAGCTGGAAGCCCTCAGAGGAAACTTTACACTGCCCCACCGACTCCACTCACACTTTCGCTCTCCCAAAGTGTCAGACAGAGATTGGGATACATCACACAACACGCAAATGCACAAAGACATACACACACATAGACGGTTGCGAAGGTCCTCTCCAGCAGGCTCTCATTAAGTCATGTTCCTGGGCTCTACTCCTGTTGTCCCCCTGTGATTGGTGTCTGGCTTCGTTAGCTGTGACAAACACTGATTGATCACAGACACTCAATGACTTTGGCCCTAATTTGTTCAAGGACAGCGGTCTTCTGTGTCCACACCAAACTTGCGTGCAGCTGGCAAATATCTGGGCTCAGAGTGTTACAGCTGAACATGGAGAGTTTGGCAACTGGAGTGATAGCTGAGAAAGAATGTGGGGGGTGAAAGAGGCAGTGAGAGCCAGAAGAGATGTACAGCTTACCTCCCAACCTCCTCTACAACAGGAGCGGGACAGAGCAGGAAGGTATCCTCTATTCCAGCTGGTCTCTCATCTGCACAGGGAGAAACAAAATCACACTTTATATAGCAGACATTTTAACATGTTCCCTAATTCTTCTTAAATGCACAAGCCAAACACAGAATCCCATGATGCATTACAGCTTGTATGTGCTTGTGTTAGTTTGCAGAACTCACCCACAGTGAGTGTATCATTCAGTTTGAAGCTGCAGAGGACCTGGTCAATATTTCTGGCATGAAGAAACCCATTGCCTCTCACCACCACCTGGAAACTCTCTGTGACAAAAACCAACAGTGAGTAGGCACCATCAGAAATGATTGGCAATATGCACACTTGTGCAAAACAACGGTAACATAAACATATTTTCAGCTGTATGAGAGAGATATAAAAGATCAAAATGGGTCTCCTAATTTGGTTTGAAGTGGGAGAAAATTTCTAGTCTGCCATTATGGTGAGTGCTGGCAGCCATTCCCTTTCTCTGATGTGCTCAACTTAAGCAGGAGAAACTTGTGCATGCCTCATTACTGCTTGTTTATATCTGTGTGCCCCTGTGTGTATGTGTGGAAAGGCCATAATAAGCTCCGATGGTGCTAATGCTAAAAGTGCTGCTATTCACATATGTGCTGTGCAGTAGCCAGGAGGTGTGTGCGCATGTGTGTGTGTGTGTGTGTGTGCGCGCATTGCTGACCTTTAGTTTCCCTCAGGCGCTGTTAAAGCGCACTGACAGAGGCTTGCCAGCATATGCTGTAGTGTCTATGTGGCTGCTACCCAGCATATGTTAGAGAGCGGGAAAAAAACACTTGCTTAAAAACATGCCTGCAGGGCTGACAACAGCACAGCACTGTCACAGTAGGTCTGACCTTACCTATGGCACCATTAACACATGTCTGTATGCATCTGTATGCAATGTAGTGTACATACTGTATGTGTGCATGTGCATGTGTTCAGTATGTGCATGCATGAATGTGTGCGTGCATGTGAATGTGGACATGTGTGTGTGTGTGTGTGTGTGTGTGTGTGTGGTCTCTGGCTGTGCACCGAGCTTTCCTCTAGCATTATCCAGGCTAACAGAAGTGAACGTTTGCCACACCTTTAACATTTAAAGCTCCAGCGTGAAGATCACTGGATAAAAACATCACCGGGTGTGTATGCGACAGTGTTCCCTTAAAGGTCAGACAGGCTGCTATGAAAAGCCATAAATACAGATACACAAACAGAGGCAGAGCTGAGTGGAGAAAACAAACAGCACTTTACATTTGCCTGCACATCTCTGCATGTTTACAGATGCTGTTAAAATGTTAAGAGTGCAGATTTGTTGTTGGAGAAAATCCAGGAGGAAAAGTGGTGATCTAGCAGGCAGATGGAAGTCAAGCTCTCGCAAAACAGGGATAAGTTGTATACATATTACACATATAATAAAGATAATAAACACAACTGAACATGCTGCATCTTAGTTTGTACAGACAGTGCAGCCTCAAAAAGATAAAACCTTCTGTAAGTGAAATTTCTGATATTCTGCAACTGTGCACAGATGACCTCATACAACTGTGTCTATCTGTGTGTGCGCGCTTATTTACAGATGTTCAATGACTTGCAACTTGTCAGTACTGCTCATGTCATTTCCTCAGCCAGACTCAGATTCTCCATGTGTATACACACACACAAACACACACCACCCGATTAACCGCACATCTTATTACAGACAGCCTCATCATTTACTGTTCCCAATGCCCCGTGTCTTCTCTCCTCCTGCCCCAATTTTACTATAAAACACAGCCGCAACAATCAGAACAATAAATTACATCTATATAATATAATCATATACAACTTGCATTGTATTAATTTTCACATAAACTGATGGTTTATGTGGTTTGCAGCCACAACAATGTGCAACGTAATTGGAGGTCTTAGAACTACTCATTCCTAATGCTCAGTGCCTTGGCTGCTTTAGCAGTCATCTCCCTTTCACACAATGTTACCATCAAACAGCATGAGCTGCACTGTGACAGGACACATGTGCACACACACAAAAACACACAACTTGGAAATGGTACATGGCAGATATTATTCATATGACAACTGTCTAATTTTGAGTCTGATTATTGTCCTCTCTTTTAAAAGTAGAAAATGAAATAGAAAATTGTGTTTTTTTCCTCAGTCATTAAGTAGTGCATTGCTTTATAACTACATGTAACCGCTTAACATTTAGCAGAGAATGGTTTTATTCATTCAAATATTAAATCCTGAGTCATCCTGAATATTTCCCGACCAAAATATTTGCTAGAAATTACCATTGTCAATTATGATGTATCGATTTTTCCACAGATGTTTTATCCATCTAATCTTACTAATCACTGATGGGTACAAAACAACAAAATCTGAACACACTATGACACAAACACACACTAAAAGGTCAGTGCTGTCAGACACATGGTGGGCACAGACTGGTGGTTCCCTGCCGACATGTTCAACACATATGCTTCTGTTCTCTGCTCTCTGCCTGCCTCCGTGGCCACATGTCCATTTACATCCACACCTGAGCGTTTGACAAGGATTAGATGTGTATGAATGTGTGCGACTATACACACGTACATGCATGTGTGTCTTGTTCACGTGGAGAAAATGGGCTACGGGCTTGTCCGAACGGCGGCTCTTCAATCACGTTAGTGCGACGGGACAGTGAAGGGCAGGGAGGGGCAAAGGAGGATGGAACAACAGGGAGGAAAGGGTCAGACGTTAATGAAAGCAGCAATCCCTGCTGTCATGTTAGATCTAAGGCCTAACTCTCATTGTCCTCTCAGTGTGTGTGTGTGTGTGTGTGTGTGTGTATGTGTGTGTGGGGAATCAGTGCTGTCATGTCTGATAGTGTGGCCCAACGTTCACTGTCCAGTCTGATGGCCTGTTTGCAGGCAGCTCGGTCTGGTCACTTCACATCAATGTGAGGGACATGTGTGTACATGTGCTTTTGGATGTGTGTGTTTGTGTGTGTGTGTGTGTGTGTGTGTGTGTGTGTGTGCTGACTAAAGGACATCTTTACGTGTGTGTTGGTGTAAAGCATGTATGGTATGTGACTACATGCAGGCACAGAGAAAGACAGAGAGCAAGACTGTCACAATACCTATGCAATATGTCAGTGTGTATTTATATGTAAATGCAGGATGGATGGATGTGGGTAGATGATTATATTCAGACCTCAAAAGGAATCATGTCCACAATCTTGATGTTCCAAATACAAGCATCCTCTTTCTAAATGCTTGCCAGTAACATTATATCACATTATACTGCAAGAATAAGCTTTGAGGCAGGGACAGACATACCAGTTATTTCTCCACAGGACAATTTAAAGCCAACCATAAGTGTAAAACGTAAGCATTAGATGTCTAGTCTGGCTTACAGGATGTAGATTGTGGATATAAGCCTGCCATTGGCCGTTTATTTGAGAGGGGATTTACCTCCCCTTCTGCTTTCTGCATGTTACCGTTTTCAAAATCCCTATCGTGTAGCTACATGAAACTAGTCGTGCAAAGCCATACCTATTTCCAGGTGTGTGAAACATCATCCTCTGGGCTAGCAACCTACACGCTAAAATCATAGCCTGTCCAAAATAATGGATGTAGCTACCATGATGTCACCCATTGGTTTATGGACTACATAGATTTATGATAATAACTAGATACCGGATGATGGCACCTTATTCAGTTCAATGGAACTGCTTGCCTGGCGCATATGCCAAAAAAAGTTTCTAGATTCACTTCCACAATATGCGGCTTACTGAATATGCGCAGTAGTGTTTTTCCCACTGGCCACGCCTGCAAGTTCCCCCTTGGATCATAGTCTTTGAGAGACATTGTGATGGTGTCACAGATTTTTAAATCGCTTTTCTCTGTTTGAGGATTGTTTAACAAATAAAACCTTCATGGATCAAAAATTCATAATAGAAAGAATCATTATTGACCTTGATTGCATTTCGAGGTGTCCTGTCAACAGTTTTACAGACATCTCTTTTGCATTCGTAGTCTAGGGCGGAAATGCTTTTTGGGCTGCAGGGGATTTTTTCACTGCGATACTGTGAGTGACCACTGGAAAAAACATGGAAGCAAGGCTGAGTGGCGTTCCTAGGGACCTGGTGGACTCCTGTTTTGAAGCCTTGAGTTCAGCATTTTGGCTGTAAACATGTTTATTTCTGCTGTAAAGTTTGGTATTTTAACACTGGTGTCTATGGGGATTGATTCACTTTGGAGCCAGCCCCAAGTGGCCATTAGAGGAACTGCAGTTTTTGGCACTTCTGTGTTGGCTTCATTTGTCAGCCCTGGAGGTTGCTGCTTGGCTAAAAAGTCTTTTAATGTTTTATGCAGCATTTTCTTTTGTGGGGATTTTCGCCATTTTAATGCCACCCCATATTCCTCCTGATATTTATATTCCAAGGGCCTCCTTTCTGCATTCTGGGCTAACCTTGTTTATAGAAATACAAACAACACATAGTGTCGATGGGTTCAGTCAGACCTTTCTCCAGCACTGGCACACTGCAAGACAGTTCTGGCTCTGATTATTTGATGTCTAAAATAAGAGTTGTATATTATTCATACACATCATGTTACAACAAAGGCAGCACACTATACGCATCAGCCCATTACAGTTCTTGCCATTAGTTAATTAGACCAGAATCGGCTTTGGCTAAAGTGGGTCCTCGGTTTCTTAGTTCACTGACCATTAGGCTGTTCATCAATCGAATAATAAATGAGGCTGTTGCAGGATATTTGGGCACATGTCGAGTGACACACTGAGGCTCTTTCAACAGACCAGTAATTATCACATGGGTACTACTGTGACTCTTTATTATTCCTTCCTCATATTTGTCCTTTAAAGGCAACATTTTCATTGCTCTAAAAATCCTCTCCCCTCCTCTCCATATCCTTTCCTGTCCTTCATACCCTATAATGGATGCTAATCTCCATTGGTCGCCCTGGTAGCACTGCTGCAAATGCACTCTCTTAAGTGAGTCCTAATAAGGTCATGTCAAAGCCCATCCATCCTGCTGGCTACTGCACATAACAGCTCCCTCTCTTCGCTGTTATCCTGTTTCTTACTTCCTGAAGCTGCTGTCCAGAAGCAGAAGAGCTGGACATGGAAGAAGAGGTGAGAAGGAGGACAGGGATGAAACAGCAATTTAATATATACGATGTGGCAAACTAGGCCAGAGAAGCAGCCATGCTTAAAGATTCACGGCTAATTCCTTTGACCAACACCCGTCCCCCCCTCTTCTCCTTTTTGCACACACGCTGTGCTGAAGCAGCTATGCTAATTTCCCCCGGCCGTGAATGACAATACGCTCTCTGTCACTCCGCGGTCATAAGCGTCCATGTGATTACTCAACCTCATGTTCCACTCCAGAGGCTTTAGATGACTGTCATCTGACACAATCGCACACCGTGACTGCCCCGGTCCTTAACAAGGAGGGGAAGCCCTTGCACCTCACACCTCTTACCTCCTGCACACACACTGGACGGCTCTGCTGCTAGAATCTCAATGCAGGACCTCTTGATGATCTGAGAGAAGAAAAACACAGGCACAAGGCAATTTAATAATAATATAATTGTGTTAATCTGTGTGTGTGGATGAGTGTGTATCTGTATACATGTGGTATGTACAGTACAGTATGTGTCATACTGAGTCAATGATTCCTCTCAGTGCTTGGAAGCCTCCCCATACAGGAAACACATGCTCCACGGTGTCTGCAATAGTTGCAAGCTAGAAAAACAAACAGACACAGCAAGAAAAAAAATGTTATTTGCTTTTCTACGTATTCGCAGCATCTTCAATATCCTGCTGCGGATCCTACCTGCGTCTGATTGAACTCTTTGACCCCTACGCAGTAAACAATGGCTCCCATGGACCTTGCTCTTTGAGCCTGCAAAAACAGAACAAATAAACCAAAATGCAGTGAGCCTTAAAAGACTTTGGTCGGCTCTTGGAGGCAAATAAATCTCCCAAAAACACATCAGACCCTCTCAGTCCTCATGGTAGAAATTGTACACAGGAGCTAGATGACATGAAGCACATTAGCTCTGATGTAGCATAGCATAGTGTAGCAAAATCAGGTGCTCTTCAAGGATGGGGCAAAGATTCACTTAAAAAAAACAACAACTGGCCAGCTCACTCCATATCATAGGCAGGCAGTCCAAAAATGCATCCGAGGCACTCTGATGGTAGTTAAAAATCCTTTGGATAACGAACGTGTTTCGACTAGTGAGTCTTCATCAGGGTGTAAAATGTATCAGAAACAGGTGTGCAATTTAAGAGCTCATGTGAGGGTCCTGTGACATAGCTCACCTTTTCAATTTCTGCCACTTTATGTGTAGACATGTCACAATATATAACAATTTTTACTTTACTTCACTGTTGTTTCCTTTTTATTTCCTTTTTTCTTGTTACTAAATATGTTCATTAATTTAAGTATACATTTATATCATTTTCATGTCTGTCAATGTGTTTTTTTTTTTGTCTAGTAAGGCTACACCAATATATCATGTGACCTGTGTCACATGGCCCTCACATGAGCTCTTAAAATGCACACCTCTTTCCAATGCATGTTACACCCTGATGAAGATTCTAGCTCACGGATTTCAGCTATCCATGTATTAATAAAGGATTGTTAACTACAGTCAGAGTGCCTTGGATGCATTTTTTGGACTGCCTGCCTGTGAGTGAGCTGGCCAGTCCATGTTTTTTTTTTGTTTTTTGTTTTTTTTTTTTAACCAAAAATGTATTATTCACAAACAGGCAACTAAAAAAATAGCAAGATTTACCACGTGTTCAGTGTGGTACTCAATCTTAAATCATTAAAGTCATGTAAAACGATCAATGGAGCACCAAAGAGGGCGAGTCATTAACTTCATTGCAAGTGCACCAAAAATAAACAGTGAAATTATTTAATATATGAAGGGAAACAGTTTTAAAAAATACAAATCTCACAAAGTACAGAGCACAGTAAACGAAAAGTTGCTACCTACAGTAACAAGACTCACCCCTGGGGCAATGTTTGCAAGTCATTCCAGTCCTTTCTCATCAAGTGTTCACATTATTTTGTCTATCCATTTCAGACGCCCCTCTACTTTATAACCCATCTTACCTCTCGCTGAGCTGTGTCAAACTGCCACTCATTCAGCTCTCCGTCCGTCAGAGCGATGATAACGCTGGCTGTCCCTGCAGAACACAAAACTCTCTAATGTTCTCTGAAACAACACACTAAATGTAGGCAAATGCAATGAGAATATTAAACAGAGCTTACCGTGCTTCTCTTGGTATATCTGTGCATTAGCCTGCAATCACAAAGTAGTTAAATAGTCAAGATTATGAACCAGTTAAATTAACTAAAAATAAAACAAGTGTGAGAGATTACAATCATCTGTACTGGTTAGAAGCATGCTGATATTGCCAGAAAGCCAGCTCACAAATGTCACTTTGTTCAGTGTGGCCTGGTGAGGCTCCTCACTCAGGACGTCAACATGAACCCTTCCCACACCTGATTAATCTTTGTTTTATATTTTCAAACTAAGATACCATCTGGAAATGTTGTTAAAATTAAAACCACCAAAACATGTTGCTGACAGAATTGAAAATGAGAATTAGGCCACATGGGAGTGTGGAATCATGCTTTATCTTACAATGCCTCACTTAAACAGTCATTCAGAAAGCTCAGCAGTTTCAAGAAGCAGCAAGTCATTCATGATCCGAGCCACTCCTCATACAGTACTAATCTAATTGGCCCTGGTTCCAGCTGCCAGGCTCAGTTAATCCTCAGTGAATATTTTCCAGAATAAAATCTTGTAGCGAGGACTAAGCTCGTGAGATTTGGGGCTGGCTTTGCCAACGTGTTGGGTTCTCAGCTTCATCCTTACCATCTCCAGGCCTAAGTTCATAAATGTGTCTCCTCCGGGGATAACTCTTCTCAGAGCTGTTAAGCCTCCAGTGATGGCTTCCCTGTAGAGTAAACAGACAGAGTCCTTGATAAAATACACTGGAAGAAAGCTGCTCTTAGGAAAAGACAAAGAAATATTTACAGTGCTGAAGTTAGAAAGAGGGAGAATGGTTTTAGTTGGAAAGTAATTGTGTGGCTCAGGTAGTATCCAGTCCTCAGCCAAAGTCATCCTCAGTTGACTGAATGCAATGCTTTGTGTTAGTAGGTTGCTTAAAACTGGATAAGATTTGTAAAGCAGTTAAATTCTGAGTTGTGGGAAAATATGTTAAGAGAGGTCTGGAAAACCAAAGATAGAAACAACAAGAGGGGACATGTCTGGAAGTGTAGTGCAAACCCAGACAGTGAAAGTACAGGTGTGTGTCTCACCTGTTCTCCGTCAATTTCAGGATGATGTTTCCTCGTGTGGAGAAGACAATGAAGGACATTCGCAGCATGGGGCTGCAAACACACAGTTGTTTTACATTAAAACGGACAAAAACAGAAAAACACCCAAATTCTTGAATGACTAATCCGGCGAGTACCTGATAAACTTCTCTGCCAGCTGCTCCACAAAGGAGTAAATCTCTATCCAGTGATTCTTCACACTTCCAGATCTGAAAAACAACAAAAACACAACCTTATAAGGAAACAGTGGGATGTTGCCACAGATGACTAATTATCATCAGCCACAGCCAATTCAATTTAATTTAATTAAATGCAGCATTACTGAGAAACATGCCCAGAACTCACAGGGGGTTTGGGCTTATTCATTTGAAAATGTAAATGTTTTTCATCTGATAAACTCAAAACAAAACTGACAGTGAAACTACGGCAGTTTTTATCCATGCTAGGGAGCGCAATGCTGGTCTGTCAGACACTTTGGTCCAGACTAAATTATCTCAAAAACCTTTGGATGGATTGCCATGAAATTTTGTAGACATTCTCAAGAGGATGAAGCCTACTGACCTATCATCTTGTTGTGACACGAGGTCAACTTTTGTGGTCCTGAGTGAAATGTTTCTTTTAAATGGATTGCCATAAAATTTGGTTCAGACATTCATGTCCGCCACAAGATGATCTGTAATAACTTTGTGGATCCTAAACTTTCATCTAGTGCCATCATCCGGTCAGAATTTTGATTTGTCCAAATACTTGGTTTATGAGACCAGTACTTTTAAAACTAATGACAATCATTAGCTTTGACTGTACTCTTGTGTTCAGTGCTAGCATACTTACACCCTCATCATCAGTGTGAGTACTGGGGATGAGCCAGTACACAGTCCGTATCCATATCTGTACTCGGAATGGGCAGAGTTTAAACCAAATTTGGGTTGGGTTTAAACTGGAAATGGGTTTTTAGTTTCTCAGGATTGAGCTTTAGATCCTTTTTGATCACAAGAGTAAGAGATTGAACACAGCTAATCGAACCCATGACTGCTGCGGCAAAGAAAATGCCTTTGTACCTAGAATGCCCACTCTGACCATTTAGCTACCGGGCACCCCTGATGATACGTGTGCTTTAAAAAAATGCATTATTGTTACCACATTCTTGTGTCATCCGAGTATTTAGCTCAAACCCAGAGAGTATGTTAGCATGCTGTACTTCAGTTGACATTGTACGTTTCTGCAAACCCCAGATATGTTACATTTCAATATGTTGAAACTTTACATTTCTTTGTGTTTTAAATTCAAATTTCATGTTGTGACAACACCGTGGTTAATGTGGTTATAGGCTTAGTCACAAAATCCGTTTGGTAAGGGGGACGGAAACGATCATGTTCAGACTCAACATACCCAGTTTGGTCACAGCTGGAAATGTCTCCGCCTCTCATTAAAAAATCCCGCTTTTGTTGGTGTATAGCAGCGGTCTGCTGCTTGGCAGCCGTCCCCCTTAGGTGTCATGCCATCCACCACCCCCTCCTCCTTCTGATGATGAACTCAGCTCATAAAAATAAAATCTGAACGACATCATTGGTATGAAACATGTGAGTGTAACATAACTGTGGTTTGCAGAAATGTGCAAAGCCAACATTTCATCCGGGAGACTGAGCTGCATAATCTATACCTTAATGAAATTTTTGAGCCCCACCTTAGCTTCAGAAAACAAATGGTAGGATTCAAAGGTAGTGTAGGTTTTGCATACAAGTATGTACAGACTGGATTTAATGGCCACTATATGTTTCAGGAACAACCGTGACAGTTTATCTGCTCCTCATTCGAGGACATTCCTCTGGCCACTCAGTCACATTCCATTAGTTCGGACTGTAACCTGTGAGCAGTGAAAGCTGCTGGTTAGCCTGCTAGATGCTGCTGCGTACATGACAGTGTCCTTAATGAAGCCCAATCCCAGGGGGCTGCTAATGGGGGCTAATTGCTGCTGGGCCAGAGGGTTGAGGTTAGACAGGGACAGATGTAGCAGTCCGCCTCTAGCAGGGACCATGAAGCAGGCAGCTGGCCTGTGTGTGTCCGCTTGTGTAGCCTTTAGTATTTGTGTTTATGTGATTGTGTGTGTGAGTGTGAGTGTGTGAGGGGGAACAGATGGTCCCAGTGAGCAGAGCCAGTCTAACAACAGGTTGGAGGTCTGCAGAGTGAAAAGACTGCGACATGAGCAACAGAGGGACGCAGAAGTAACACTCTGCGGGGGGTAAATGTGAGTGTGAGTGTGTGTGAGTGTCAGACTGTGTGTGGTGAGTGTCCATTGAGGGAGGCAACATCGCACAGCAAAAGGCAGGGCTGTGTGTGTGTGTGTGTGTGTGTGTGTGTAATAAGGTCATAAACACAGTGAATGTCTGAGCTGGTTAGACTCACTATGGCTCTTTTGTACCTCTCATTTAACCAGTTGCTTCCTGCTCCACTTATCCTTTCCCCTGGAAGGGAGGGCCATGATAAAAGCCCTGATCCCGGAGGAGTCTCCTGGGGGAAGGAGTCTCTCAGTTTGAAAAAATATTTATCTCATCCTAAGAGTCACAGAGTTTACTGGCACACAACAGAAGCTCAGTTTTAATCCAGTGAGCAGGACAGAAGGCATCTTAAAACACTGCTAAAGTAAAACATGTTTACCAGTCCTTAAAGTGTTCTCTTCCTCAAACAGAGTGCAGCAAATGGATCCAACGCCAGTCTATATTTATATGTGAATGAATGACTGAGGAGGAGTTGACCTGAGTAGTATTATAAGCCCTCTTTGTTCAACTAATTAATTGATCAGAAATTAACGGGTAGAAGTTTTATTGCAGTCAATCATGCAGCTTCTTAAATGTAAATATTTGCTGTCTGTATTATGTCTTTAGGTTTTGTCTCAGATAAAACAAAAAAAAAAAGGATTCATTACCCAGCCCCTCCAGGATGTTGTGATTGCAACAATAGAAGCAAATTCAATCAGTCTCTCTGAATTTGGTGCAACCTTTCAATTTTTTTCAATCACCGCAACGTTTCTACAAATTAGACCAATCATAGTAGTTTCCCCTGAGTTTCACCGATCATAGCAGCCCCACCACACTCCAAAATCACTTCCTTGTTCCTGGTTGTGAAAATGTAGAAATAACCTCTCACATTTACCAACAAAAATTACTGCTAAAGACCGTGCAAGGCAATTCCCTGATGATCTGCATGAAAGCGGGGGTTTTGCATCGCTTGCAACGTTGTGGTGGAATACAAATAAAAATCACTGATAAACACATTTCCACTGCAAAACATCGCTGGAGAATGGCTGAAATGCACGGACAACAGACAAGCCAAATCACCAAAACAGGGGCTGTTACATCCACAGTGCTAACGTTAGTGTATAAACCACAGACTTAGAAAAATTTGCTCTTAATTTTAATGATTATACCAGGGGTGTCAAACGCCTGGTGGCCAGAACTGACCCGCCTGAGGGTCCAATCCAGCCGACTACACTAAGAGGTGCCAGGTTTCAGAGCAAGTTCAACAATTCTGTGTCAGAGGCTTTTTCACCCTGACCAGAGTACAGTTCACAGATATAACAATGAATACTTACTGTGACCATGTTTAAAGATACTGAACATTGTGCAAAATATTGTCAATCAGCAGCTTCAGTACAAAAGAATCTGTATCAGGAAATGTATGGATAAATACACATGTAATGACAGTAAGAAGTAGACTGACTGAACGTGGAAAAACTGAGACATACTGTTGAAACTGAACTTATTTTTCTTAAGACATCTCAGGCTGTTCATCTGTTTTATAAAAGAATGAACATCTACAGAGTGTAATTCTTTACACACACACACACACAAAGGAAAATATTGGAGCTGATGGTACTTATTTTATTGGTCCGGCCCATCTGAGATCATATTGGGCTGTATGTGGCCAATGAACTAAAATGACTTCGACACCCTTGGATTATACACAAAAAACTGCATATATTTTTGCAATTTTCAACCTGCTCCTGTAATTTAATTGCAAAAATGCCTAACAACATAACATGCATCACATGCATTTTTTTTATTTTTTATTTTTTTTTTTAGAAAAATGTCCGTGGAATCGGGCATAGTAATCAGCAACAATACAAAAAAACAAACAAAAAAAAAAACAACCACCAAATCCTGGAGGGACTGATTGCCCCGTGGCTCTGTGCATTTTTCATTATTTTCTGACATTTTAAGGGAATGAAATGTTATTTAATTAATCAGGAAAATAACTGAGAGACTAGTCACTAATAAAAACATTCCCCCCAGACACTGTATGAATGAATTTAATTGCTTTTAAATACTGCAAGAGGAAAGTTCTCATTCTTAACAAATGAAGAACAAACTTCAGTCAGTTCATGTTCTGTAAACTTATCTTTGCTACTTTTATCAGAGAGCTACAGATCTAAATCACTGCCAGTGTCCATTTGTCCTCACCTTTCTACCTTCATTCCTAACTCTGCATAATATAAGGGCAGGATTTCCTTTTGCCTGCAAGTATATGGACCAGTGAAAACAAATCCTTGTTCAGAACCCAGCCATATAACACAACACCTATTATTCTATTTGTGGGCAACCAGATAGAGAGGAAAAATGCAGCCTGGTATTTGGTGTGGGTCAGACATGGAGTGCAGGAATGTTTTCTAATGTTCATTCTGTGTGCTGAGATGCATCCAGTGGAGCACACACATATTCTACCCAGCATGCCTCATAACCCTGTGGAAGGTGAAGCCAAACATGTGAGTACGACAAACAGTGAGGAGGTGAGGATCAGTGCAGAAGTGTAAAAACATCCCTTTTGCGTGATTTCGCTCTGTTCTCTATCACTGGAGATTAGATTAGGTTACTGTGTGGCATTTAAGATGTGGAAAACACCCAACAAGTCGGTGCCATCCCGGGAAAAAAAAGAGCAGAAGCTTCCTGAAGGCTTGCTGAAGCATGCAGGTCCAGACAGTCAAACAAACAGAGGCGTACCACAGACTTGGCCGTGCGTGACATGCCACGCTCCCCAGGCTCCCCTGAATCTTTTTGAAGCAAAGGGTAAAGACTGAAGAGCGGCTGACAGATGTTCGCCGTGGACATCCGAAAGATCATCAAATGTGTTGAAACCAAAGTAAAATGTCACTCAACGTGTCCAGCTCATAGATGGTGCACATGGGGCAACCAAGGACATACAGTGACCTTTTACTCAAACCATTACCTCACCGTACTCCCAAACGATATACACAGATACCACAGTGTTTAACAGCTTCACCACTAAATCACTGCTCTCATTCTTTTGACATCTTAACCTGTTATTCCTCCGCACAAACGATGCAACAAATTTAACTGTACCTTTTGCTATTTTGGTTGACATTCTATCCCTCTGTCTCTTTGCTCGCTTAGCACGTTTTGACATGTCTGATCTTTCTGTATCCACATTTAATCTCACCTTGCAGCTGGAGCCAAGGTACGCCAAAAATGCCAATTATAACGTCTGAGCAGCTATGAACAGCAGCACAGTCTGAGGCCACAGAGATACCATCACACATGGATAACTACTGGAATAGTCACAGGCGTGCACAGCCAAGAAAGGTGACAAAGACATTCTCAGTGATCATGTAGCCTGAAAAATCTAACAATTATAAGATTTGATAGTTAGATATGTTTGTTGGGGCTTTGAGCTGGCCCAATGTGCCTTCCTTGTACCACCAAAAAGCTTCAGGGCAGGCAGTAGTGTGTTTCAAATGGCAAACAGATATTTAAAGACTAATGTAGGGTTAGTCTAAGAGTTGGTATTAATGTTGGAAACAGGGTCACAGGCGTCTTTATATCCTGGAGGTCCAAGACATGGAAGTAACGGCAAGGTCTCTGGTTCAAAGAATGCTGGGGACCTTTGTCATCCTCGCTCTCTCATTCCTCATTTCCTGTCTACTGACTTCTAACAAATGAAGACAAACATGCCCAAAATACTTAAAAAAATAAATAAATGTTCATTTCTAAGGATGCAGCTGCATCACTTTTATATACAGTGCAGCTTATGAGACATACTTTTAAAAGGGGACTTAAACTGTAACTAATTTTTTTCTGGAGGGTCAGTGGTTGAAATGACTCACTTTGTATTGAAGATCTATTCTGGTTGTTTACCTTTGTGTTGACGTTTTATACTATTTTTGTACACCATACCAGCACTGGTGGTCTAGATTAAATACATCACATCCTGAATCTGACTTGTCCATTGCAGGTGTCTACTTGCACTAAATTACAGAGGCGGAGGAGCTGGAGGAGGATACTTGTCATAACTTGGCAACCCAAATGTTGTCCTTACAAACGGCTATAAAACTGATGGATAAAACATTAATACATAGCTTGTAAACCTGTGATAACATCATTAGTCACAACTTATAAAACATACCTCTGGAAGTGGTGCCAATATACATGTTTTATGATGTTTTTGTTCCGTAAAAACATTAACCTAATCAGATTTCAGCAGAAAAACAATAAAGAATGGGCCCTTCTTCTAGTCACTGAGGATGGCCGCTTCAGAATACAATGAGCCTAGTAGATGGAGAGAGGAACAGTGGTTCTCAACCAGGTCCTTGGGGGACTTCCAGTGGGGCACCAGAAATATAAGGAACAGTTTATTTTTAGTTTTCGCTAGAAGTGAGTCCAATATGAGTAAGGGTCATGAATGACTATTCTGATGACAGGTTTCATATACTGCATTGTTAGCCTACATAAACTGCTCTTAGTCATATTTAATAACCCAAATCTTCTCAGATGCATGGTCCCTGAAGACATATCGTATCAAATGGGGGTCCATGACCAAATCTGATTCAATTTAGGGGGTCCTTGGCGTGGAAAAGGTTGAGAACCATCGGTTTAAAGGATCACCAGGCCACATAGCACCGCTGTGGGGCAGCTGCTGCAGCTGTGTCCGCAGGCGTCATCAGCCTGAAACTCTATCCATCCTGCTCGCCCTGCCCACATCCCGTGGGTAAAAGCTCAGTCTGTTTGCCTCTCCAATTTGAACCGGACGAAAAGAAAAGAAAAGCATGCCCTAATGTCCGCAATATTCCTCCTTCTTCAAATACAGTGCTAAAAACATGCGCGAAAAGACACTTAAAGATAAACAACAAGAGTTGAAATGGCTTTGAACGTGGTTTCTGTGTTCCATTAAACAAGAAACTGCTCTTATTTAGGAGTGATTTTATGATACAAAGGTCAAACTGATGAAGGCCGGACTTCTGAATTTACAACTTCAAACTTGTAGGTGACTTTTCTTTAGTGCCGCCATAACAACAGAGCCTGAATCTGACTGATGCGCTCCGCGTTTCCAAACAACTGGGCGGTTGCATGGCAATGCGCAGCGATGGGAAAGTAACAAAGCCGTAAATAATATCGGACACTCACTTGTCCAGGACAAAATAGAGGTCGAAGGCTCCCTGACAGGACCTCTCCTCCTCCTCCTCCTGTTGCTCTCCCTGCAGCTCCCCTTTCACCGAGACATCGAGGAAGAAAATTCCCAGCAAAGCCAAGGCGAGGAACATGCGAGTCTGTGTCCTCGCCATCTTTCCCGGTTACTGTTGACTACTCCAGCACTGTGACAACTACAGATCTTCACATTTTCTCTCTATCAGCTGTTTCTGGGTCGAGTGCGTGTGTATAACGCGCTGTTTTCTGGCTGTTCCGTCCTGTTAGGTTGGGCGCATTCAGCCCACAGGAGTCGTGTTCAGTTGAAGCCGGGCTCTCCCAACTCTTCTCTTTCAGCTGAGGAAGAGAAAAAAAAGCAGTGGAGTAGGGCAGGATGGAGGAGAGGAGCGACACCCGAGGAGAGACACAAAACTCCACTTTTACACAGAAAAAAATGTAACACAAATCATGAGAAATAGGAAGCAGATTATCTGTCTGGGTGGTGTTACGCAAAATGACAGACTGTTTGAGAATGGGAACAAACATCCTGTCTTTTTTATTTATGAAACAGGATTAGAGGATTATAAATCAGATGTATTATTCTTTTTTTTTTTTTTTTTATTTAGACTTGATTAATTCAAATGATTCAATTCATATGATGCAACATTTCTACTCAATATTTTTTGCTTTTGCTTTATGATTATTTTGAATTTGTCAAATCAAACAGGCAGGCCGAATAGATAAAATAAGTTTGCTTTTAATGATCAATACTTAAATTTTTGACCCTTCGCTCTCAAATGAACAACAGTAGAACTGCAAAGACAGAAATTATAGGCCTGAATGCAAATGGACCAAGGGCAGGATGTGATGATGACAGCTTTTCAGAGTCTTCCTGAGATTGTCATCAAACTTCCCAACACAATGCAATGCGATAAGCGACTAAAATCCGACATGAAACAAAACATCTCCCAGCCTATAGTGTAATCATACTGTAGCTACCGACAGTTGGAGGCTTTCATGTGTTCCCGCTTCCTCATTACAGAAAGTTGGCTCTATAACCACCAGGACATTTACCCAAACCAAAGCTTTGATGCAGAATAATCCATTAAATGCTCATTAGACAGAAACATTTAGTTTATGAATAATGCATTTGCCCGGTGGCAAACCCAGACCACCCTGCATCATGTCATGTAACAGTGGCCAATTTTGCAATTTCCAAAATGCCCACATTAGTCGGGACAACTTCTACCACTCGTGCAACTCTCGTGTCCTGCACTTATTGTTTCCAGAGATGTGACCAAAAACTGTCCCACATAGCGTGGATAGACTTGGATACTCTGTTTATCTGTTGCGCAAAGTGCAAATAGTGGAGTGACTGTTCTTTTAAAACCATAGGAGACAATAAGATGTCAGAAGAGCTCCTTGCACACATTATAATGATTTCTATCTGACTAACTGCAGGCTGGCACAGGCGTGTGTGAGGTCTTGTTCCGCAGGATGTGATCCCCTAAGATCAAGGCTTTAGGAAACTGTGCAGCTTACACGCAGTTAAGAGAGAGCACATTATATTTAATTTGTTGTACACTGTTTTACAGGTGAAAATGTAACTCTTGTTCGTATGTAGTGCACAGTATGTCCACTGCTCAGCTGCATGCATGCTGTATTGGATGAATAACCCCATTACAGACACCCATAATGTGCATTATTGTTCAAATCATCACTGTATTTCCTCACCAGCGCTCATATCTCTCTACCTCACTGTCAGGACTGTAAATCAGACAGGGGAGAATTTGCCAAGGGACTAAATTCGAGGCGTGTGCGCGCGTGTATGTGTGTGTGCGTGAGCGCGCACGTGTTTATATCAATGCGCCACGCTCCAGTGCGCTCTCTGAAGGGGATAAGTGGGAGTGGGAGAGGAGAGGGACGACAGTACAGACGAAGATTCAGTCGGATAAGTAACTCGTCATCAAGGAACGAGAAGGCATCGTCACCGAGGTCCACTGCACCTGCTGCAACTTGCTGCCACACGGCACCAACATCCTCCTCCATGTCCAGCGGGTGAGTCCGACCCTATTAATGCACTTCTGCTTTCTCCACAAAGACGCACGATCTGTCTCTCAAATGCCTTTTTCCCCCAAAAAGACTGGCATTTTGAGATTGGCACCACATCACTCTGTCATGATGCTGCGCGTCAACTAACATTTAAAGACAAACATATAAACGATCCGATACTTTTTATTGACTAGACTGGGCAAAAATTCACTAGTCGTAATCTTTGTGCGTTAATACTGTTGATAAATCACGAAAAAAAAGCATATTGAACTTATCCTGCGCACAGAGGAGGCAGTTGGGCTCCACGGCAGATGGGGAGACAAAAGGAGAAACCGAGTGAAAAACTGAGACAAAGGACGTTAGAAATCATTTTGCCTCGACACCGGCTGCGCCCGCTTCACAATGAGGACGCTGAATTTTAGCAGAAAAAAACATAAAATACTGTTGTATAAATTATTTTTCCAATATTGCAAGCAAGACTATCCAGCCTGGATTTGGAGCATCTGAATCCAAATCGGCTCACGGCATGTCAGACCACTACAGCCTGTATTTTATTTCATATCTCAGCTGTTCCTCTATATTTTGTTTGACCAAAACCAATAATTAAAAACATATATTAATTGGTACACTTCTCATTTAGTCTGCTCTCCTTTAAAGATGGAGTTAGGCCTCGTTTGTTTTGTCTTCATCTTGAAATAATAACTCAAACCTATTGTTTTCCTGCTCTCTAATAATAACCGTTGTATTTCATTGCAGTTTAACGATGGATCACACTTTTCTGCCTCGGTCAATCTGGACCGGTGACAGTAAATTCCTCCAGCATCCAGCGGATCTCTACACCAGTGTGGTCGTTACGCGCAGCATCCCTGTAGGCACGTGCTTTGGTCCGTGTGTGCTCCAAAACACTTTCTACGACACTATCGCCTTCATAGCGCAAAAATCCTGCGACAAGAGAGCCAAGTCCTATGTGTTCAGGGTGAGTTGGAGCTGATCTTGTAGCCTGGTGAATTCATACCTTGATTTGTTTGTTCGTTATTTTAATTTTAACAGAATTTAAACATTTGATGCCCCTTATTCTTAATGCTATGATGCCATATCTGAATGCTGTCCATCTGCATTTTTGTTTGTCACAAGGCTGCTGTCTCGGGTTTTATATCAATGAACTAACATTTTAAAACGTGGATTCAATTATTTTAACGATTTCACCTGCTGAATATCAATTTAAATATTGAATATTCTAGGAATTGCAAACTTGTATTAAAGATAGAAATAAAAATGTCAGTGATTCCTCTCAACAGGTGGACCCCGAGGCCATGCGTAATTCTGCGCTGGTGATGTCCTGGCTGCGGCTCGTGCAGGCTGCGCGCAACGGAGAGGAGCAGAACACAGAGGCCTTTCTGAAGGCGGGTCAGCTGTATGTGCGGACCATCCGGGACATACGGCAGGAGGAAGAGCTGCTGGTGTGGTACGACCAGGAGCTGTCTCACCTACTGGGCTTCACAGACATGAGCAGAGGATCAAGTGAAGGTGAGTGTGAAAGATCAGGATACTGGCAGGGCTTTAATATAAGGCCCTGAAAGCACAGAGAGCATCTTTAAATTTAAAATGTATGTTGATGGAGAATATGTTTGACTTGTGTGAGAATGTACATTTGAATGAAATTGTGTATTTTGGTTTCATAGTCATAAGGTGTGATTTTTTTGCCTCTTTCAGAGTTCAAATGTGGAAGATGTAACCAGGTCTTCAAGAACGAATATCCTTTCCTGGCTCACTGTCGATTCCTGTGTACCCAAGTAAAGACTGACACCTGGAGCCGCGAGGTTTACGAGCACAAGCATGTGGAAATTAAGAGGCAACACCGAGTGACAGACTTCCACAACATCGCCAGAGATTTGGAGCACAAAAAATCTGGCAGCAGCGAGGACGCGGAGGTTTCCCCCAAGAGAAGGAAATACGAGGAAACTCTTTTCCCCAAAGTGCGGAAAACAGTCCTGTTGGAAAAAACGAATATTTCAAATGATGACAATATCACACCGCTGATTAAGGGCTACGACCAGGCAGCAGGAGATGCGTCCTCCTCTGCGGGGAAACTGAAAGCTGGTAAGATCAAACCGGATCATTTGGGATGTAAGAATGACGCTTTTACGCACAGCAGAGGGATGGACGCACAGTCGGAGGCAGGTGAGAGTTCTGGTGTGCACTCAAGCAGCAGCAGCAGCAGCAGCAGTGCGTTTTCTCTGGTCCTGTCCAACAGTCAGGGCGAGCAGAAAAGCGCTTTCTGCAAACCGAGTAAAAGAACTTCCCCTGTTGACCCCCAGGCGCATCTCAGCAGCGCTCCAACAGCCCCCTCTAGCCGCCTAGAGGAGATGACTGATGCCTTCACCTCCAGGACTGTTATGGGATACAACAATCTAATGGCATCCAACATCCTGAGCGGTGACTTACAGACTGTGCCCTCCCCGGTTGCACTGAACAATGCTTTCCATTACGCACCGGAGCACTGGTCCAGGAACATTGGCGTCCAGCTGCAGACCACATCTTCTCTCACGATCCTTCCACCGACTTTCACCTCATTCGGCGTGTCGGTGCAGAACTGGTGCGCCAAATGCAACCTGTCCTTCCGCATGACCTCCGACCTCGTCTTCCACATGCGCTCTCACCACAAGAAGGAGTTCGCTGCGGAGTCCCACGTGAGGAGGAGAAGGGAGGAGAAACTCACCTGTCCGATCTGCCATGAATACTTCCGGGAGCGGCACCACCTGTCCAGACACATGACCTCTCATAACTAAAACAAATAAGGGACAAAAACATTATTTGTTTCTTTAACGATGCTCGTATTTAACAGGCTTAGACGGCGAGACTTTGGTGCGTAACAGTGAATGTAGGTAGCTGTAAAGAAAATAGCGAAACGGACACACGTGGCCATCACAGCCTGTCCACTAGATGACGATAGAGGTACGTGTAAGCTGATCTCACTGCAGTTTGTTGTCTGTCCTTTAGCCCTGTGTGTGTTAGGTTGATGATTATTTTTGTGCCTTACGGAACTCAGGAGGGAAGAAAGACGGAGAGATCTGGAGGACAGCTCATGATTGTCACAAATATCTCCTCGCTTATTTATCTGCTTTTTTCTGCTCTGGTTTGTACGACAGATGTGGACTGAGTGTGTTTGCACATTCGCTTTGAAATCTAAAATGATGAAAAATGAAACAGGCGTGTTGAGTGTTTTGTTCCATCATCATGTTGGGTGTCAGTTTTTGTCTGCTCCAACAGGCGGCGACTGAGACCAACTTTTCTCTCTCCTTTTCCCTCTGTGGATGATTTAATATAAAGAACACCTATGAAATGTGTTTGTTGTGTGACTGGACTGTCCTGAATGCTAGATTCACTTTGTTTGCAACAGGGGGAAATTTGTAAGAAAAATGCATGAATCAATTGGAGGAAATTAACATCATGTTGTTCTGGGTCTGCTCTCATGCACTGCTGGACAATATGAGACAAAACTGTTGTTTAAAACAGTGGTTCCCAACCTTTTTTTCTGAAGAGAACCCCTTTTCTGTCATTCAGTAAATTGATGACACCTTACTAAGTGACATATTTTATGGATATTATATTCAATGCATAACAATAGCAGCACAGAACAACTGATAAACTGTACAATTACCCCAAATAGCAAACGCATAACTGCAATAAATTTGTCTAAAATGAGAGATTGGATGAGATTTCAGCAGAATATGTCCTGTGAGTTTCACATCAAAGATGAGTTTTCCTGATGTTTATAGGAACTGTTTATACAATTATCTGTCTGTATTATTTCATTTTTATTTTTTCAACAAGCATACAGCCTTTATAGGCCTGTTTTTTGGACACATTCAATGTTTTTTTCTCACTGATGCTTGGCCATTCTTCTGTTAGCGCTTTGGTTGTTTTACTGCATACTTCTTTTAATGCAAGGCCAGGCTGTTAGCAGAGAAAAGGCTCTGTGAATATGTGTCCAGGTCTTTACCGTGCCCATATCCTGTGAGTTTATATTTTGAATAATGATCTAAACTTTTAAGATCGCAATTTAATTTATTTTTCTCCACAGGAATGAATGAGATGCTGAGTATAGGCCTTCTGTATATATTTTTCAAAAGTATTTTTACACCCTGTAAAATCAAGAAGGCCTCGTGACGCCCTGTGAAGCTGTGGGGACCCCTAGTGGGGTTCAGGACCCCCAGGTTGGGAACCAGAGATTTAAAATCTGTATACCATTTAAGATGCTTCACCAAACATTTCAGCATGCAATTTGAAGTAAATGAAAACAGTGAGAGATTGATTTCCAGGCTGCCACTCAAAAATTAAATCAGGTTCTAGTTTAAAAAAAACTTTCATGGTTATCATTCATCTACAGTCCTGGATGAAGTCCACATAAACCTTTGAATTTGTGATTTTAATGTTTCTCAGTGAGCGCCTTAAGTCCCATTCAGGTCAGGCTGCCGAAAGATGGACATAAATAGCCGTCTCTGTTGCAGGTAAATGAGGCGGCAAGAAGGCATGAAGTTCATGGGAAAGTCAAGACTCGACCCTGTTCAGTCCCTCTGTAACGTAAGCGGGGAGGTAAACCCGCCCAGGCTGCTGTTATCTACTTTTATTCGAGTAACAGAGCTTATCCTTCAGTTTTTTAATACCACAAACTGATTACATTTTATTACTGGGACTGAAACCTCCACAAAAACTGAAAAAAATTGCCCCACAAAAAATTGGCTTTGAGAACACACTGCAACTTGTTCATAATCTTTCAATAAGTTTCAAAACCTCATATTTGTTTCCATGCTTAAATGGACTTCTTGGCTTAATAAAAGTTATTTGGAAACAGGTAAAAGTAGATTTTTCCCTGCTTCCAAAGGGAAAAATAAGATTTTTAAATAAAATACCCAGAGGTCCACATGATTAAATGGGTGATTAAGAGGCACAGTGTCACTCTATTAAAGCTACATCCTAATGAACACAACTATTAGTTCTCTGAGCTCAGTAACCATGTGAGGAAAGAGCCATTTCAGCCCAGACACAGAAAATCCTCTGTTGTCTAATAATGGCTGTATTGCTCTCCTTTAATTGAACAGTCATCATGTGGAAAAACAAATATTGTTCTTGGTTCCCCGTTTGCCTCGTTTGGTTTTGGCTTTTAGGCGCATTGGGCTCTGAACACGAGCCTAGACTACTGCGGTTTTCTCGGCTGGAATTGACCATTGTAAGTACTCTCCTGTGACTGTGATTGCGGTTGACATGGGGTTCACTTTGTAATAGCAGACTGTGGGTCCACACTGTAAAATGGATCAGTCAGGAAATGAGGAAAAAAATGAACCTGGATGTGTTCATTACAATCGGGCCCGCCTGCTCTGAAGCTAAAACATCTATTAATGTAAACATGATTTATAATAACCCTAATTACAGTCATCATCATAATTTAAACGGAGGTTAGACCCCGTAAAGGGTGCGTTCGTAAAAAGGTTTGTCGTTGTTGAACATTTCCACTTGTTCAAAATGGAGAAAACAGAATCATGCATTTGGTATTTCAGACATTTCTGTCTCCCCTCCTCCGTCAAACACGGATTAAAGATAATATGTCATGATACTGCTTAACATCATTATCATATGTTACAGTCAAACAGCGGCACACTTAAAAGCTAAAATGATAAGATGTCTGTCTTTATTTTATACCTACTACTGGTTTAATATACCAAGTCTTTACCCTCCTTTTAAGTTCTCTTGTTTTATAGTTGTACAACATTGAATCCTGGAAGATTTGTGCCTTACTGACAGTGATCAACAGAGAAAATCTTTTTTAGTCAAAGTGAAAACACATCTCTACAACGTGACCTAAATAAATCACAAATACAAAACACAAAATGCATGTTTGCAAAAGTACTCACCTCTTTTATTTATTGAAAACCCCCCCACCTAACTCATCACAGTCTGGTGCAGCCAGTTGGCTTTATAAGTCATATAATCAGTTCACCCAAAGTTAGTTGAGTCACTGTCGGTCATTTCCATAGAGATCTGTTTTCACTTTGACATTAAAGTGTCTTCCTCTGTTGGTCAGTGTCAGAAAAGCCACATGAAAATGCCTTTGATTCGTCGCTGTAAGACAATGAAACAAGTTGAAGGCTTTTTATAGTCTCTGTATATCTAATGGACAAAGGAATGCAGACAGGAGGGGCACAGTTTGTTTTTAGAGATGATAAAAGGTGACTCCATGCACAATGGCAACCAAAAGAATTATTATCAACTGCAATAAACAGGACAAGGGCTCAATCTTTTGTCCCTGCCCCCTACTGTGGTTGCTAAATGTCTCTAAGAGAAGATTACTGTCCAGTCTTGAACTTCAGAGCATTCTGTTGTTACAAACAGATGTGCTACTCTGTGCCAACTTTTTTCAGGCTCAAGGCAGAACAACCGCAGACTAACGAGTTAATAAAAGGCTCCCTCTGTCATTTCACTGTCAGTTTGACACACTGTTTAAGCACCACACGGGCCACCTTCTTCCGCTTATGAATAAAAGTGACAAGGAGTTGAGTTAAAGTGGCTGAGATCATGTGTCTGTAAACATCTGTTAAAAAAAAGCTATTGAGGAGAACATCCTGCGATTGGAAATGCCCTGCGTTTGAATGGAGGGGTGGAAAAGGGGAAGCACACCATGTTTTGAAGTTCAAGTGGCTGACGTCCTAATAGGTGCGTGCCTGCTTCTTCCATCAACCATTAATCCGCGGCAGCTGCATCAGCCACATTATTTGCTGGACAACAGACATGTGAGCCTTTGGTGTGGGGTAATAATGGGTTCAAGGGGCTTGAGGGGAATGCTGGCTATCTTTGAGTGGAACCTTCCTGCGTTTGTGCAAAGTTATTTTGGAACAGTGGTGCCCTTTTAGGTTTGTTTTGACACAAAAATCCCCCCAGGAATCAAACGGTATATGCTGTAATGACCAAGAATAACACAAAGTGTATGAAACAATAATATTCCAGCAAGAGTTTTGGATTAAATTACTTTTTTATTCTAATTTATAGAAGGCTACCTTTTTCATAATTTAAACAATACACATGTACAAAATACAATCTCATCTAAAATATAGTAATACATAACCTAGTAACCATGACAAATTATTTTAAACCAAGTTTCACATTCAAAATAGAAAAATATTTCTGGTTTCATTATAACATTCTTGAAGTGTTATGAGGGGGTTGGCGGGTGTAAACGAATTCCAGATGCTCTCTACAATCCATTGGATATTTCCTTTTGAAGATATATAGAGCAAGAATGTACAATAACCGTCCATTATTGGAACAAATTAACGTTGCATGTATGTACAATGTGGCGTATGATTTGTTTAAAAGTAAGAACAGCTGTATGTAAAAATCAAGAAATATGTTTCATAATCTCTGTCATCTGTAGTGACCACGTAAGCTGCCTGATGACACGCTGGTAAAAGTCTTTTGTTTATAGCCTTTGTGTCCAAAGAAAACATGAACACAAACTCACTGTGAGCGATTTTGAAAAGCAAGCACATTCTGAGATAAAGGGAAAAATGCTCCTGTCCATGAAATCCTCAACATTATCTCAAACACAGAATCAAAACAACAGGGCTGCTTAGACATGTGGAGCCCTGACTTTACATGTGTGACTCCGATCCTCTCACTAAGGCAGACGCCAGACAATGTGTCTCTTCAAGTCTGCTGCCGCGGGACAGAAGAGATGGAAGTGATTTCTCTACAGCCTATGTTCCTCGAGGAATAGCGACGGCCAAAGTGAGCTTGTTTCCCAGTATCAAGAAACCACTTAACAAACAGAGGTATGGTTCTGTCTCCATTAGTCCTGTTTTCTCTCTCCACATCCACCCTGTTTCGTCCTCTGCCCCCACTGACCTCCCCTTCCTATCTGCAGGAGCAGGACTGGACGGACATGTTGGGGTAAACCTTGAGCACCGGGTTCCTGGATTCATCCTGGTAGAGCACAGCCAGAGGACTCATCTTTTCTGGGACACAGCAGGGCTCAGGAACTCCAGGGATGATCCCGACGGCACGGACTATGCTCTGGATGGTGGCGTGGTTGGACGGCCTCGTCACCTGGGAGAGTTTGAGTGGAACGGAGAGGCAGAAAATCAGTTAAAGGGAAAAGAACAACATACAGTTACTCAAATTGGCACTATGGTTTTGGAACCAAATGAGAGTGACTGCGATGTTTGTGCTCCTACCTTAGGCATGGGGAATCCACATGTGCCAGCACAGTAGTAGGCCTCAAAGGCCTTGGGTGCTATGACCCACTCGCTCCAGCCAATGTCTGCGAAATCCACTCTGAGGTTCCTCCTGGAGCAGCCTCTGTGCTGGGTGTCGCCCCACTGCCTCCTTCTGGCCTTACGCATCGTTTGTTCATCAAAGTTCAGCACAGGTGACTGAGAGTTAACGCTCCCCTTGTACTTTTTTCCGTCCTTTCCCTCATGTCTCCGCTCATGCTTTCGGCCATCACTGGGAGTCAGCGATGCTTTGACTTTCTTCTCGGTTGACTCATCAGGTTTGAGCCCCTGTGATGTTCGTTCTGCTTCTTTGAGAACCTGAGGTTCTTCTTTACTATGTGCTCCCCTACCTTGTTCTACTCCTTCTTCCTGTTGGCTCTTTCTCTTCTTCTCTTTCCTTCCTGGTTTAGGTTTGAGTGCCAGATACCAAGTGCTCTCCCAGAGGTCATCTTTCCTGTACACATCAGGCCTGTAGTCAACCTCAGGCAGCTCATTGTTCTGAATGGGGTCAGAGAGCAGAGTTGCATCCCTTCTTTCGCGTCCTTTTGACTCCGGTGAGGAGTCAGGTCTGTGAGAGGAATGTGAGGGCTCTCCTCCCTCGCTGAAGGGGTCATATCTCTGAAGGCTTGCTGCCACGCTGTTGGGCTCAGCCAAGGCTTGGTCATTAGCATACAGTAACAGGTAAGGCAGGCTGCCACCAGACAGTGCCACCTCTGCTTTCCTCTGGTACTGATGCTCTAAGTCCAGCTCCACTGAAACAAGAAGATGACCCTTGTTCCATGCCTCCTTTATGACCTGGGTCACGTCTTTCATCTGCCACACCCCTCTCCTGTGGGGGTGGAAGGTCACATTGCCTAGAAGTGACCCCATTGACCCAGATCTGACCTCTGACCCGGAGGAGACAGAGCGAAGGAGCAGGCTGATGGACGGAGAAGGGTGGACGGCCGAGGAGCGACAGGATGGGCTTTTGAAGCGTTTACAGAACCAGGGTTTCTGATGGGGGCGCCGATCGAGCAGGAAGTGGAATGTGGCAGAGAGGATGACCTCTGAGTCCTGGAGGGTTGTAAGGTTTAGTCGGTACACTGTCCGGTGGTCAGAGGAGTCTGCAAAGACAATCAGTCAGTTAGTGGCAGTCGGTCAGGTGAACAACCTGACAGTTTAACCTTTGTTTAATCCACAGAATGATTTTTGTAAAACCAAAATTGATCTTGTACATAAAAGATGAATCTCCGCAGAGAGAATTGGGCAGTTTTATAGCTCACAGGTGTTTCTGTGTTCATGATTTAAAAATGGGAAATAAGCAAAAATTAGATTCATACGTTTGACAGTTCTTTGGCTTTTTTTTTTTTTACTGATGGGCTGAAATATTTGGCATATTTAAATGATGAAAGTGTTTCCAGCAGGAAATCAGGATTTGAACCTTCTGTGAATTTACACATTTTCCACTGTTATTTGACAGTAGTTTAAGAAGGAATGACTGAGAAAGGAACACACAGTTTCATAAAAGAGATAAAGGGGAAAAGGAGTCAAACTGCACTTTAATCATCCCTTCTGTGGTTTAAAACCTTGAGAAGTGGGACTATTAAACACATGTCCTTGTTCTGTGTTACATGGCTGAGCTGTGGCTGCATGCCTTGGTAGGATTTCAGAAGGTGCCCTCAAGAAGAACCAGACTCTGGGGATCGGGCTGGCAGGGGCGGAGGGGGGCGAGCAGAGAGCTACATATTCATGATGAACATTAACTTAAACAGCAGAGTTATTGTTCATTGTATAAGAGTTCAGCGGAAGTATGGACTGACTCAAGAGATATACATTACCCCGGATTCAGCCTGCATATGGAAATGCTTACCTCAGTTTCTCTTAAAGCTTCCCCTTAAGCCTAATACAGCCAGCACTGTCTGCCCAGACACCAAGACATAATCAACTGTTTTAACAGATCTTACATTGTTGTGAAAACTCTCTTACATCTCTCCTTGGATTACACTCAGCCTCTGCAGTAAAAATACACACGTGTTATGATATGCCATCTGAGAACTATGTGGGAAATAAATGCCTATGCGTTGTGTTTATAAAAACAGCATCAGACAGAGAGGAACGACTGTGCTTTAAGCCCTTTGACTCCAGGACGTGGAGTCACAAATGTCCTGTAGCCACAAGAAGCCACGACAATGACCCTTTGCGAGCGCGTAACTGCCGCTGAGGTTTCACTGTACTGAAGTTGCATGCATTCTTGCGCATATTGCGCGTCTGTCTGCGGTAATTGACCAGAAGGGGCACAGCTGCTGCCACAAACACAGTGTGCCCACAGCGTCCCAAAATCATTTAAATGCATTCTCAGACTGTTCCAAAACAATCCTACCTATTTAGAGCGTCTGGCTGAGCAATGCAGCCCCACTGAGCTCTTGCACTTTTAATAACCATCCATGGAGAGGATCAGGGGAGCTTTCTGACTCCTCTTGACATTTTTTTGTTTCTTTTTTGCTCGGATTACTGAGCACTAATGGGACAGGCTTTTTTCCTGCACCGAAATAAAATCTAAATTGCTGCATTTTACAGGAGGCGATATCTATCGATCACTGAAGGCAGGTTAATGAATGTCTCCACACACCTTGGCTGGCTCTGAAACTCCTGACAGTGTTCCCCTCTCTAAGGCGGTTTTCCCTGTTGTATTTCTCGTACAGTTTGGACATGTGCTGGGAGACCATGTCCTGATCCAGGTCATCTAAAAGCGGGTCCGACGAGGGCTGGAGGAAGCTGCTGTCCTGTGCGCTCCCAGAGACCCCTTTCATGATCTTAACTGATGCAGCACCCAGGAAACAGTTCAACATCAACAGGAACAGGTGCGAGGAAATCATACGCAGAGCTGCCATTTAAGTGCTGAAATCAATACAAAATCCAAGAGGTGCAGAAAAATGTTGATCCAAAGTGGATTTTAAAGGCGCGCCAAAACAATCCGGAATAAAAAAGGCTGTGCGTAAATGTTCCACCTCTCTCACTTTTCCGCTTCGCGCTCGGTGAGCCGTCTCACTCCTCTGCTTCAGACTACGTGGATGCTGAATGGGTTAGTCCGGGCAACAGTTGGAGCTGCTACTTTTACACTTGCGTCTGTGTGACCGCCAGAGGCTTGAGGGGGTTATACTGGAGCGGTGAGAGGTGCTGACGTATACTCCTGTCAGCCAACGAGGTCTCTGCAGAGCGCACAGCCAGAAGTGGAGGTCATGATGCTGACCCCCTCCCCCCTCCTTTCCCTCTTTGATGATGATGATGTTGATGATGATGATGTCTTCCTTATGTTGTTTTGCATCGGTGGAGTAATAACATTGATCCAGTGGCTTTGGCAGAGTGTTTCAGTGCAGCACTCACTTGTTTAGCACTGGTCAGACAAAGCCACTGTTGAAACTCAACAAAACTGTGCTTTTTTTTTCTTTGCAGGAAAAGTAATTCCACCTCACAATTTCCAGCTCACCACATTATTTCCAGTAACTGCTTTTGACATGCTCTCAGTCACACATAATTAGCATAGAAACACCTACAATAATAGTCTGACCAACCACCCAAGGGCTATTGTTAGCGACAGTGATCCACATTTTGTACAGTGTGTGTGTGTTTCTGTGTGAGAGAGAGAGTTTTGAAGTGAACGGCTGCGGTGTAGCAGTGAGATGAACTTCTCCTGAAGGAATTACTGTGATTTTATTCATTGCAAACAGAACATGACCTCTACTTGCTAGATTCAAACTCAACACTTTTTTTCTCCTCATGTGTATGTATTTTTGTATGTGTGTGTACATACAAGTTGTTTCCAGTGTGTGTCTCTGGTGTCTGGAGCTCTGTACCAACAATGCTTGTTTTGTGGAAGTGGTGGTCTCCAGCAGAGAGGCTGTAACTAGCTGGGCCTCTCGGGTCACTCTCTGCCACTACACACACACACATTTACACATGCACACATGCATGCACGAGCACATATACAGAGCTACATAGTACTTTTCTGGCCCCCAAGGGCCCCACAGGATACTCCTTTTCACTATGTTCCACACCAGCAACAGGTCTTAAATCTGGACTTTTCTGGAGATGTGTTTGAATGTGTGTGTGTGTGTGTGTGTGTGTGTGTGTGTGTGTGTGCGTGTGTCTGTGTGTGTGTGTATGTGTGTGTGTGAGTGGCAGCGTCTATGGTTTTGTCGCAGCACACAAACACAAGAATGCTTCGCCTTTTCCCATATCATTTTGAGTTATATTCTGCTGAAAGACAAAATATGATTAATCGCTGTGGTTATTTGTTTGAATACATGCAATATTGTTTTCCACTTGGTGAAGCGCCGTCTTTGAAAAACCCTGTGAGAAATCAGTGTGGCATTTGAGAGTGACCACTCTCTAAAACAACCCCCCTGGCTGCGCAAACCGATACTGAAAGATATACTGTTGTTTATTTGGAAGTAATAAAATTTGAAAACCAAACAATAATTGCTCAACAGTGAACTGTCGTTCTCTGTTATTAACAAGCCATTAAAAACCTCTTGTCAACATGGGAGTATCTCACTGCGGTTCCCTGAAGAAGCAAATGGAAAAAAAAACATGACAACCTTTGTTATTTTCACAGACCGAGTAGCTTGAGTCATTATCTATTTAACAAAATAACAGAAATACCTCAAGAGTTTGAACAGACCATACATATGCGCGAGCAGGGAGAGAGGGAGGGAGAGTTAAAGTGATATCTGAAACCAGGGCAATAGGGTCATAATAAATAGTCCTGGGGAGAAGACATCCCAACACAAGTTCAAGCATGAGGATGACAACATGAAATGGCTTTGACCTCTAACCTCAAATATGTAGGGCAGTGTGAGATTAATGTTGGGCATTATCTACAATAATGCTCCTCTCCCCATCACTACTGCGAGAACAGCAGCATCACTGTGACTAGATCTAATAAGTTTAAAAAAACACAGCAGGACAGAGATGTCGCTGGTAAATGTTTTTCAAGAGATCTCAAGCAGGCGCATAATCTAACGCTATGGTAACACGCATCACTTCCAGCCTAATCGCCAGAATAAATGTTGGCATTTTACTTTTTTGCAAACCGCGACATTACATTTATACGGTACTATGTAGTGAATACGTGGAAACTTTCTGTTTATGTTTCAACAGTGCTGTGGTTAACGTGTGGTTATGTTCAGGAATGAAAACCACTTGGTCATGATTAGGAAACAATCATGTTTTGGCTTAAAACAACTGCCAATTTTGACACAAATTCTGTTAGAAATGCAGCAAGGGCTCACTTAAAAAAAAACACCAAAGTTCTTTGGCACAAATGCTGCTGGAAAGTCATGACGACTTGCTAAAAACACTCATGTTCAGTAGCACAAACTCTGCTGGTGACTTGCTAAAAGCACCTACATTTGGTGGCACAAGTGCCGCTGAAAATGTAGCAATGACTCATGAAAAGACACCTACATTTGGTTGTACAATTGCAGCTGGAAATGCAGTGATAGCATGGTTGCTTGCTAGAAAACACCCAGGTTTGGTTGCACAAACGCTGCTGGAAATGCAGTGATGACTCACTGCAAATACACCTACATTTGGTGGCACAATTGCTTCTGGAAATGAAGCGATGGCTGATAGTTCGCTAAAAAACACGTTTGGTGGCACAAATGTGGCTGGAAATGCAGTGATGGCTCGCTACGAAAATACTCGTTTGGTGGCAAAATCTCCACTTGAAATGCAGTGATAGCTTGCTAGAAGCACCCACATTTGGTGTCACAAATTTGTGGCACAATCCCTGCTGAAAATGCAGTGATAACTCACTAAAAATCACATATGTTTGGTCATACATTGCCACTGGAAATACAGTGATAGCTCGCTACAAAAACACTCACGCTCAGTGGTACAATTTCCACTGGAAATGCAGTGACAGCTTGCTAAAAACACCTGTGTTTAGTGGCACAAACACTGCAGGAAACATGCAACGGCTCACTACAAAATACTCATGTTCGGTGGCACAACTGCCATTAGCAATGGCATGATTGCTCGCAAAAAAACACCTTCGTTTGGTGGCACAATTGCTGCTGAAAATGCAGTGGTGATTCACTAAAAAACATCCATGTTTGTTTGTACAAATGCTGCTGGAAATGCAGTGATGGCATGATTGTTTGCTAAAAAATCCAATGTTCAGTGGCACAAATGCCACTGGAAAGGCAGTGAAGCCTTGCAAAAACACAACCGGTGTTCTTTGTTGATTTTGAACAGTGGTCTGCAGCTTAGCAGTCATTTTGCTGAGATGTCATGCCATCTGCCATCCACTCCACCTCCTGATGATAAAGATACATGTAAATATACATGTAATCACAAGTACGTCACTTCAGAATTCATGATATACATATCAAACGTAGAAATGTAACATATCCGTGGTTGCAGAAACATATAATACCAACATTTTCTTCTGGCAACTGGGCTGGTCATCTCAGTACAACTTTAATGTTTCTGTCTGTGTATTAAGTGACAGCTCATAGTGCACAAAAATTGTATTTTGCTTATGTTGCTATTGGATCTTCAAAGCAACACGTGGAAGTAGTCAGGCTCACACTGAGATCACAACTCCACATATTTTGAGTTTGATGAATACGGCCACATCAGACGCATAACAGACACTTTCAGGCCAAGTGTGGACATGCAGCAATGTGATCTTTAGAGTCAGGAATCACATTAAAGGGACAACTGAGACTGCAGCCTCCATGATACACAGCATGCATCGCTGCATCACAGAGCTGAAGGAGACATGAAACAGAAGTTACCAGCTGGATGCAATGTGGATGGATGACTAACTGATATAGTAGTGATATGAGTAGCTACTACCCATTGATCCCTGCAGCAGCACTGCACTGTGAAGCCTGCTGTATCTGACTACTCAGGCTGTGTTGTAGTTTGTTCAACATGGAGGTCCCCCCGTAGGGCCATCCAAAGCAAACAGGAGTTGTGTTCTGCTCTCTGTGGGGGTATGGAGGAGCGCAAGGAATTAACATGCCTGTGTGTGTGTGTATTTGTGTGTGTCTGCATGTGGTGCTAGGAACTGATGGTTGGTTCTGGAAATGCTCCTAGTTTAACACCTTTGCGTGGTATTGGGTGAGACTTTCTGGTTCCAGAGCTCAGCAGTGGGGGTCTGATAGATGTTTGTGTGTGGGCACAGGGGATTTGGTATGGATCAGTTATTGGCCAGCCATCCTCCAGTGACTGATGCTGTCATGGTTTGTCCAAAAAGAACAGTGCTGTGCACGCATGGGGGACGGACTAACTGGCAATGTCTTGTGCTCATAAAAATAAAGAGGGGGTAGTTTGAGCCAAATGTTCTCATGTTGTGTATCCTGCAGGATGTTTACAGCAGCTATAAGTGACTTGCTTGTGTACCTCGGGAATATTTTACGGGTAGACAAAACAACAGGTCACACTCTAACACACAAGAGGTCACTCAGGACTGTAGGGACTTAGGTGGAAAGCGCCAGTGTCAGTTTAAAGGCTGTTTTAAGACTTTTAGGATCCTGTTAAGCAGACGAAAACATCCAGGTGGAAAATGTGGCCACATCTAAATCAGTGCATTGTTCTTTCGTGGATGCATTTCATTAAAGGGTCAAGTCACCCAAATTATGAAGAAAAAAGGAAATATTCACTTTTTTTGTAGTGGGTTTTGAATAAGAAGATTAATACCTCTTTCATACTTGTATGCTAATATAAAGTTATAGCCAGCAGGCAATTAGTTTAGCTTCACATAAAGTCTGGGAGCAGGGGGGAACAGCAAGCCTGGTGTTGTCCAAACAAAAAAAAATCTGCCTACCAGCACCTCTAAATTGTACTAAGTAACACATTATATTTCATAAAACAGCCCAGTTGCCAGAAGAAAATGTCAGTATTGTACATTTCTACAAACCATAGATATATTACATGTGTATGTTTTATACATCAACATTTTTAAAGTGATGTAGTTCTGATTACATGCATATGAGCTGACTTTTCATCAGGAGGAGTGGGGAATGGTGCATAGCGTGACACCATGGTGAGATGGCTGCCAAGCAGCAGACCACTGTTTGAGGCAGACAAACAACAACACCGGTTGTTTTTTAGTGAGACATTGGAGCATTTTTTTTTTATTGTGCCACCAA